ATCTTGAATTACGATTTTGATTTCACTAAAATTCTAATTAATTAACCAAAATATGAAAACGAGAAGAATATTGTATAAATAGAAGAAAGTTTCAACAGCACTTGAAGATAATTAAACACATTTCACAAATGAAAATCCCAAGTTGCAAATAAGACCAATTACGAAACACCTGCTTAGTTTTACAATTAAAAATCGTTCCTTTTAATACAACTTACGATGAAAGGTGGGAGAGAAGAAGGAGGAGGAAAAAAAAAAGAAGTTTAATATAAAACAGCGGAAAATTGTCGAAAAAACGTGACTCGAAAATTACGTAGACACATATAACTTTTAAACGTACATATTTCACATTTTTTGTGAAATATTCATGAAACGTTACGCTACGGGGTAACTTTTTTTTAATGAAATACAAAACTCTGCGTGAAATCTGAATTCCTAATGATGTTTGCCAACTCCCATCGTTATTCATGTTACACACATATATATGTATATATAGATAAGCTTAATTATCGAGCTTTTAAATATGAATTTAAGATTAAAAATTTTTTATTTAAAACTTTAAGATGATATATAAATAATTAATTAATATTAATTATAATTTCTAAAACACAAGTATATTCTATATTAAAGAGTATAATATAAATGCATGGTGTCTAATCCAAGCGTTTAACGACTGCGGCTGTCGGGAATTCTTATTTAATTTGTCTATTTTTTTATTATTATTATTATTATTATTATTATTATTATTATTATTATTTTTATATTTATTTTACAAAAATGTAGAAAAATTTTTAAATTACACTTGAAAGAAATAGTATTGAATCAAGAAAAAAATTTGTCATTTAATTCAATATTTTCTTGATCGAAGAAAATTTTACTATCACTGAAAAAAAAATTTATTTGATTAAAATACTCGATTACTTGACTATTATCAAATAAATATTTATTTGTATCAAATAATTATTATTTGAGTCAATTAAATGGTATTTGTTTCAAATACAAAAATTATTGGTTCAAATACAATTTATTTAATTCAAATAAATATTTATTTGATAATACTCAAGTAATTGAGTATTTGAATCAAATAAATTTTTTTTTCAGTGTAGTTTGAAGTAAATTTTCCAAATTGAGAAAAACTAATGAATCAAATAAGAACAGGATTTTTTTTTTTTTTTGAATCAATGCTACTTTTTTTCAATGTATAACTTTTACCGTAGTTTTAAAATAATTTTCTTTCATCAATATTTTTGATCGAGAATTTGAAAAGATCAAAACTCAACTCTTTTCATAAATGTCAAAACAAATAAAAAGAATTTCAGTTAACTATTCTTAATTTATGAAATATTAATGCCTCTTGGAAAGTTGTCGACAAGAATGGGAAGCGCACGGCTGGTGGTAGATCGGAAAGTTGGTGAGTGCCAAGGATAAGAAACGTTGGGTGAATAAGACGAGGGTAAGGCCATCGCTCTGTGTCGATCGAGTTGGACTGTGTATAGTCATCGGTATCAGAGAGAGAGAGAAATTGAATTTCACGAACCGATTAGACCAGATACTCTCTTGGTTTGTACAGTCAGATGGGAAAAGAGAGAGAGAGAGAAAGAATTATCTCGAAAATGTGCTGGAATAGTACATGTATCGATTTGTACTCCTTGCATCAACGTTCGTTGAAAGCTACATTCCCTAGTTTCCATATGTATCTATATATATCTGTAAATCAACATATATACATATATGTATAAAAAGGATCTTATGGAATCCCACCCTTATTCAAAATCCCATATTCCTATCTATATATATTTTTCCCTTATTTTTTTGGTAGTTCTACTCGTTTTGTATACACTGAAAAAAAAAATTATTGGATTCAAATACCGGTGTATTTGGTTATTATCAAATAAATATTTACTTGAATCAAATATTTTTTATTTGAATCAAATAAATGGTATTTGCTTCCAATACTGAAATATTTGATTCAAATATTATATATTTGATTCAAATAAGAAATATTTGATTCAATTAAATATTTATTTGATAATAACCAAATACACCGGTATTTGAATCAAATAAATTTTTTTTTTTTTCAGTGTATAACAACATGCACACACAGAAGTGCCAGTTCTCACGACTAATATCTTCTCGACATTTCAACGTCGAGTGAGCGATCGTAACGTTTATATACCTTACATCCCAGGCACTGAATCAGAATCGAATTGAGAGGACTGGTCAATCAGGATACGAGACTGACTGGAATACAAATTTCGCGACGGTCAATTGACTGTCGTTCTCCATCCGGAATATAACGTCCACCTCAACCTACTGCGAATAGAACGAGTATATTTCAGGAAATGTAAATCCAATTTCCAATGTAAATATACGCTACATCTGCATAAATTAATTTACTCAAGGAAACCGACATAAATTAGTGAACCAGATGAGATATTCAACATGTCACAAAATATGCAGTTATTTTTTAATATTGAAATAAAGATTTTTTTATAAAAGGACAATTAAAAAATTTACACTAATGAAACAGGTTTGCAAAAAATTTCAACTATTTAAACAAAATTTCACTAATTCAAATATGACTATATAAATTGAATATGAATTATTCCAAATTTGAAAACAAATATAAATAAATAAAAACGCAGGCTCAATAATAAAAAAAAATGTTATGTTTCAACAGTTATAATTACTATATATATATATATATATAATATAGATGTTCAAAAATAATTTTCAACCCCCTTTTGATATGCATAAATTATCGATCCCTGTCACTCGAAAGTTTTAAAAATGTCGATAAAATAAATGTAAGCTACAACAATGTCTAAAAATATTTTATCAATTGAAGCAAAAAATAACTTCAGAATTTAAGAATATAAATCTCTACAATTGTATCAGCTCAGAATGAAAATTATTTTCAAAAAAAGAGAAAGAGAAAAAAAGATATTGGTATACAGCGCCTAAAATTAAAAAAAGAAAAAAAAACCGAAAGAGAGATAGAGAGCAGGTGAGTGAGTGAGATGAAAATCTAAAAGGAGAAAACCTTTTGCATTTTTCACCTGGTTCGTATTTAGATGAAAACGAGACTGCTGATGCTTCCCAGGGAGCATCACGTATAAAAACAATTTTTCAAGTAATATCTTCAAATACGATCTCTCCAATTCGGAGTTGGGATATTCTTCAAATGCCAAATATTGTAACCGTCGAAATAAGAATTCATCTTGCGAATCAGAAATGATAACCTAATATATCATAAAAATTATATATCTTTAAAAATGATTGATAATACCAATATCGATAATGTTTCTTTGGTAGAAATAAATAAAAAAAAAGTCAATTTTCCAATATAAATATTATAAAACAAATGATTAAATTAAATAAACTTTAGAATAAAGGTATGTATTTTCTTTAGGATTATTTTGCTATAATATAAACCACAAAAAATATATTATATAAACTTAAAAATTTTATAAAAATAAAATGTTTTTACACCTCTAAATATTTATTGTAATTTTAATAATAAAACTATCAGAACTAATGTATCCAACTTTTAAAAAACAATTAATTTAGATGACATTTCAAAGAATGTTTCAATGCATATTTATAAATTTTTATACTTTAATCACAAAATATAAAATAAAAATTCACAATGATAAAAAATAATCAAATAAAAAACTTGTTATTCGTGATGTCGACAAATTTCACCAATTAAATTCATTTTAGCTTTTGATATTTAATAAAATTTTGTTCTTTCACTTATAATTCAATATTATAAAAGTTAAGAATACTTAATTAATTGTAAATTATTTTTCAAATAAATGTCGAGCAGGTAGAATTAATGTTTCTTTTTCAACACCTTTGAATTTAAAAAAAAAAAGAATAAACAAGATAAAACTAAATAACATTCAATTGTTTTAATTGTCATTTTAACGAGATGCTAGACTTTTACGAGAATTTATTGATCGTTAAACGCTCAATGTGAATCACTAAAAATATTTTACTTTTTACGAAACATTCAATTCATCAAGTTCAATTATACTTAAATATATACTAATTTTTTATTAATTATAATAAAAATATTTCAAAAATATTAATTAGAAATGATTTGAAGCTAAAAATTGTTCATTTTGTTTCTTAAACAATGTTTGGACTTTATGATTTAATTTAAGCAATACCACTTTTAAAAAACTATACTTAACTTAAAATATCATTCAATATTTAAATACTTTAATTATAATTATACAAAGATAAATTTGAAAAATTTTGATTTAATTAACTCAGTTAAAAATATATTCGATTCAAAAGAATATTATATTTTCGTTAAATCAAAAATATGTTTCGGAACAAATTTAATTAAAAATAATATGTTCCAAAAAAGAAAATCGATTCAACGCTATAAAAATGTATAAAATAAAAAAAAAGGACAACTTTTTTCTCAAATTATCGAAAAAAAATTTTCTTTAAATTTTTAATTTCCTTTCAATTAGCAAAATAATTATGATGCTGTCAATTTATCTCTAATTTTGATTTGCACAAACTTTCAAGAAATTAATACTTTTATAAAAACCAGTTACCCCCGAATAACTTTAATTTTAACTCAAAGTAATAGATATTGTCTAATTATTTTTTCGTTTTCGTTTATAAAAACGTTGCCGACTTCAGAATCATAAATAATTTTCCAACTACCATAAATGCAGAAAAATTTATTGGTAGCAAATTTAATTTATTTAAATTAAATAAAAAATATAATTGTCTCATCTAAGTTAATTAATTATTTATTTGAAATAAAAATTTTATTTATAAATATTTATTCAACTCTAAGAGCAATAAATTTTTTTCTCTGATATAATCCAAAAGAAAATACATACAAATTATTCCAATTTATATATATATATACGAAAAAAGATCAAGAATATACTGTCCATCGTAAATTGTCAAATAAAAAAAGAAAAATTTACGACACAAAATTGTAAATATTTTTTTTTTTTTTTAGCAATTCTCACCGAAAATACGACCGGCAGCAACGTAGTCGATGATTAACCAGACGAAGTAAGCATAGATAATCCCTCTATGTTTACAGGCATCCATGCTGACGGAAGTTTTATTACACTCTCGTCGACGTGAAACGTGAACCATCATTTAATTTTATCAACACCGATTCGACGTGTGAGGATTCTTCCGGCAGAGTGCCTCACATTCTAACATATTTAAATGAAGGAACGCATCACGACTGATATACATTTGCGTTTGCTTGCCCAAGTCCAGGAAGCACAAGGTTCCGACCAATGTGGCTCACATTATTCACCGAATTCATTTGCACTAACACACACTTTAGTTTATCCAAGTCCCACGCTAATTGTCCTTTTCGAATAGTCTCTCTCTCTCTCTCTCTCTCTTTTTCTCTCTCCCTATTTCAATCTTGGCGTAGAGAAAACAAAAAAATTCTCTCCGTCCTCTTATATCATCATATTATAACGCACAGAAATATTAATTCATCCATTTATAAAATTCACCCAAATCTATAATTAAATTTCAATTTTTTTAAACTATAATAATCATAAAAAAAATTCTTTTTCTATCCAGAAACGATTTTTCTCCAAATTGCAAATTTTAGTCAAGTAAATTAAATTTTCCTAAATAGTCCAATTAGCGTTTTTTTCAATATGAATAACAAATTATAATACCGCACTAATTTTCACACATTAGGCATAAAAATAAAAGAAATAAGAGAGCAAAAATGCATTCCTAATTCTCCAAAAAAATATTAATACCAAATTCTAAATGACATTTGAATGTATTTTTTGAATAGCGCATATATTGTATTCTTGACCATTTGAATCAGTTTTGTATTCATCATGATACGAAAAACTTTTGGTGAATATCATGCTTGAATAATGATACTTCGTGTATTAAAGAGCTTTTCCATGATTAAAAGTTCATGAGATTCGATTGAGCCGTGGGGTTTGGAAATTTGAAACGAGAAAGAGAGAAGAGAAGCTTTTTGCGAAATTAATCGCGCTGTCCTGTTGGGAATATCATCGATGGACGATATTTTCAATTGTACGATAATACAAACCGTGTAGGTGCTTTAGGGGGGTGAAAGGAGAAAGAAAGAGAGAAACAGGAAATGGGAGCATAAACAAGAGAGAGAAGAAGCATATAGGTTAATTATCCATGCGCGCGGGCAAAGTCGCTGATCTCGACGAGTCGTTATATCAACGATACGATACACTTGTTGCGGATGACTAATTTCACTCGTGGAAGAAAAGAGCCTGGGGAAAAGTCTCACATTCACAAAAGTTTCTCGCTCTTTTCTTTCTTCCCTATTTTTTTTTTTTTATTTGTCACTTTTCGATATTAAATGTTTCACGTAGAAATCACTTTTTCCGCTGTTATCATCCTCGTTATCAACAAGAGGAAACTTCTTTGGATGCTGAAAAATGTTTCTCAAGATTTAAAATCAACTCTCGTTTCTTCTATTTTATTTCTCTCATCTCGTCTTTTAAGAATTAAGACCCAATTAACGTAATTGAATATGAAATCTTTTTTCATGCTTTCTATCATATTTAAAAAAAAAAAAGAATGCCAATGCAAAACAGAAAATAAAAATCTTTGTGAAATGTAATGAATATTTTGCCTTGTTTGTTCCCGATTACAAATACTGATAAATATTAATGAAATTCTAGCCGCGCAACGGAATTATTTTCAATTGCTTAATGTTCCATGCGAAGAGATAGAGAGAGAGAAGGGGATTCCTTCAATTGATTTGCTTAATGGGAGATTCAATTGAAAGGGACTCATTTAACATGCTTCATCTCGAGACATTTTAATCACAAGGTTTCAGCTGCGAAGCAAATCAACTCGAAAAATTTCTACTCTCTAAACTTGAATGAATGAATGAAATTCGCATTTATTCGGATTGCTGAGAATCTGTATAAATTCCGCTTCTAAATTTTACAATTTAAGGCAAAAAAACAAAGAGTGTGAAAGATAAATTTTAATATTAAAAAAAAAAAATTGAAAAAATGTTTATAAAAAAAAGAACTTTTTCAAACTTTCTTCCAAATTGTAAATTAATAATAATAAATTAAAATAAATTAATTAGTTTATTAATAATTTTAATTCAATGAAGTTTAATACTTTCAATCGATGAAAACTTGATTCAAACAAAAATTGGACTCAGTTCAAGAGTAAAACTTTTAGTGATTCAGATTTAGAGAGTAGAAAATTTGACGCATTTAAAACTTCATTGGAGATCGTGTGTTGATATTCAAGACGAAACTCTCCTCAAAAGGAAATACATATATATATATATATATATATATATATATATATATATAGTTTTGAGATGTACGCAACTGAACTTGCAGTCGACAAAAGAAAAACTTTTCTCAGTGTATTATTCTTTATTGTATTCCACAGAGAAGTAAAAGCAAAGATCGCACAAAACTTGGAATCCCCTTTTCTCTCTTTTTGGACATCTCAAATCAAGATATCCTCGGCTCCGGAAGCCTCGGTGCCTCGACCATAAACGAAGATATCGTTGCGGAAGATGAATGTAGCGCGAAAAACGAAGAATCAGAGATGGAGAACCAAAAAAAAAAAGGAAGAAAAGATAGAAAACGAAAAGAAAGAATTGTGAAACTTGAAAAAAATAGTGGAGAACAATAAGAAAAAAAAAGTAAGAAACCAAAAACAATATTGGAGAACAAAAAAAATCAAATGGAGAACATAAAATCAAGATTTTTTAAAAAAATGTGGAGAACCAAACGAAAAATCAGTGGAGAACAAAACAACAAATAAAACTAGAAAAAAAACTGTGGAGAACCAAAACGGAAAATCACTGGAGAACAATAAAGCATAAAAAAACTGTGGAGAACCAAAACTGAAAAACAAAACCCAAAAAAAAGTGAAAAATCCAATGGAGAACAAAAAAGAATGAGAAGAACCAAAACACTAATAGAATAAAACGAATACTCAATTATTCCAGGACGAATAAATAAATATAGAACCAAAAAAAAAATAATACAATAAAGAACCTATTTAAAAAAAAAAAACCAAGAAAGATGACAGTAATATCAAGCCACCACCTTGTCAATCATATCATACGAAGCATAAATTTAATTTGATAAATGTTACCACCCCCCCCCCCCAAAAAAAAAAAAAAGAAAAGACAGTAAAATTTGTATATAAAAATGAAAAGAATTAATTTTAAACACCTTAATAGAAGAAACGAGACAATAAGTCGATTTCGCGTCTTAAAGAAATAATTTTTTATGTGCTCAAAAAATGATCCTTCATTTAGAAGAATTTTTGTCTAGAGCGTCGCGACGCTGCGCGTCCCGCGGAATCACGATCCGCACTGGTACGCCATCGAGCGTTGAGAAACTTCACCATTACCCCTTGACACCCCCCCTTCCACCCCACGTGGAATAACCCACCCTCACCAACCCCCTTTTCTTCATTCCAAACCCCACCCCCTCTCATCCCGTCAACCCCAGCCATCTACCAACGGACTTCATGCGCATGATGGGACACAAGGGGTAGCGCGCGAGCGCATGGGAGTCTTTGAATCTTTGGGTCGGGGTTAACGAAAGGGAGTCCCGATGAGGTGGGGTAAAGGGGGGATGTGGGCTTCGAAGAGTAACGGGATCATGTTACTCGTGGTGACGATGTCAAGAGTGGAAGGAGTCATTGGCCATGTAGCTTTTTTTTTTTTTTTTTTTTTATATTTATACTTTTCTTTGTTGTTGGCTTGGCTGGATACTTCGTGATCTCTGACGGCGTTTATTTAGATAACATCACTTGAGCAAAGGCTAATTTTTAATATGCGACGCTATTATAACTTCTAAGAGTTAAGTCATTCTTTTTTTTTTTTTTTTTTTTTTTTTTTTAAATTATTTAACCGAAGTAAAAAAGAAGTTTTAGAATTTTTTTTATAAAGCATAATATAAATTTCTTTAACCCCCGAATAATTTTGTTACACTGAAAAAAATGTATTTGATTTCAATTAGTTGAGTCTAATCAAATAAATATTTACTTATTTAAAGAAATAAATTTTTAATTGAGTCAAATTAAAATTATTTGATAAAAATAAACATTTATTTGATAAGTAAGAGTTTTTATTTGAATCAAATTTTTTTTTTCAGTAAAAAATAATTTTTCAAATTTTGCAAAACTTTTTGTACTCTTGGATTATATTCCATTTAAAAAAATTCAGTTTCGTATCATGATTTATACAAAAATAGTTTTGTAAAATGTTCTAAAATTTTAGTACAAACTACAAAACCATTTAAAGTTACTTTGAATAATTTTGTAAATTTTCGTGCTGGTATTTTAGAACATTTTACACCAAAACTATACTCATCAAATCACACAAAATTTAATTTTATAAACTTAATATATATTTAAGAGTACAAAAATTTTTGTAAAATTTGACGAATTAAATTTTTCCGCATTAAATACAAAATAAAATTTTCGAATAATAATATTCTTTGCAATTAATAAATTTCGAATTATGAATTTTTTGTTTTATCACAAAAAAAAACATTTAATATGGTCTGTTTGAATTTCAAATCAGACATATTTAACTGAAAATCCATTCATTTTATAAAGTATATAAAAATATTTTCTAAATAAACAGTTAAAAAAATATACCTAAAAATGTTCTTGCAATTTTAAAAATGGTGAATAATTAAAGACTAACCTTAATTGTTCATTATAAAAGGCGGATGTAGAATATTGAAGATGTTGAATATTGACGATGTTGAAAGATCATCGCGAGAAGAAAAGTTCACCAAATAAAATATTTGAATCAATAATTGAATAAAAAGTTGGTATAAAATATAACCTTAATCAAAAAAAAAGTGCAAAACTTATTAAATTATTATGTTTTGAAAGTTCTGAACGTTCAAATAAACAGAAAAATTTGTTTACGATTTCTCTAAATTCAAATTTTATGAAAAAACATTGGAAATTTATATCAGAAAATATATTAATAATTTAATTAATGGTATTTGTTTATTTGTCATTACAGTTGTAATTTGAAAAAATGTATAGTTAAAAAAAAAAATTGTTTATTTGAACATTCAGAATTTCAGACGCATAAATTAATAAGTTGTGTTCATGATTTAATACTCATATTTATCGCGATGTTAATGTAATAAAATGAAAAATTCAAAAAATAAAGAAAAATTCAAAATAATATTACTATTAATTAATTTCAATTTAGTTTTTAATGTAATTTCAACTTTTTACTGTGATTCAAATATTTTTTTTCAACGCGCACTCACTTTTTATATTTTATACATTTGATTTAATTTTAATTTAGTTTTTTCTATTAATTATTTAACTTTTCACTGTGATTTAAATTTTGTTTAAAAACGCGCACTCACTTTACACTTTATACATTTGATTTAATTTTAATTTAATTATTTATATTAATTATTTAACTTTTCACCGTGATTTAAATTTTATTTAAAAACGCGCACTAACATTAAGATTTAGAAATTATATTTAATTTTAATTTAGATTTTTATATTAATTCAACTTTTTACTGTGATTGAAATATTTTTTGAAAACGCGTATTCACTTAACACTTCACAAAATTTAACGTGATTTTAATTTTTTTTTTTTAATTTTTAACAAACTATTTAATGAAACTTAAATAGTTTTTAAAATCGCGCAATCACTTTACACTTTATAAATTTAACTCACATTCCATTATTTCCTGAGATGGCTCTGAAAGATAAAAAACAAATCAAAATTTAATTTAATAATAAAAAACTTTAAAAACTTGAAAAATAGTTAACATTAATACCTAATCATAACATGTCGAAAAATAATATAAAATAAATATTTTTGCATTTTGATTTTTAGTAACTAAATATAAAGTGATTATAATAAATTTTAATTAAGAGATTTTTTTAAATTAATTAAAACTTACCGTTGGAGCAAATTCCCTCCGTCCAGACGAATATTATTGAGATCGTCATTTTTGGCCGTGAGATGACACCGAGGGATAAAGCTGCGAAAAAACAATTTATTAGTAAAAATAGAAACGATTGTCCTAATTTTTTTCTTATTATACAGAACGAAATAAAATTTTTTTGCTGTTAATATAATAATTTTAATTTCATTTAATTATATTTTTCATATAATTTAAAATTAAATAAAATAATTAATTGAATTGAATTAATTGAAAGTAAATAATTGAATAATTAATCTCGATTGAAAAAAAATGTCTTTAATTATTTTTTACTCACTATTGAAGTCATTTCCCTCTGCAAAGGCAAACCACTTTAAAGTATTAGTCCCCGGAGATCCCTTCTCTGGGTTAAAAATCAACTTCCATTCCCACATAACCAAAAAAAAGGTTATTTTGGAAATTTGAAAATTAACCTTTCAAAAAGACCGAGGCCTAAAACCTCAAAGCAGTTGCATTTACTGTAACGATCGTCACATTTGCTGATCACGATCATATGACACCTTGGGAGAGCTGTAACAATAAAAATGGTTTATAAATATTAACCTAAAAATAAGTTTCTTCTTTTGTCCTAAATAGTAGGTAAATAATAATAATAATAATTATTATAATGAAATAACTAAATAATCATTGAATTTATAATAATTTATAATTGTTTAATTCATTCCTTTATTTTTTTTATAACATTAAATAATCTTATATTATTTATGTAATAAAAATAATAAATTATTATACATAATTATATTTAATTTAATTAAAATAAATAAAACATCTAAAAAATAAAATCATTGAAATCATTTTTTATACATTTTAGTTTTGTTAAATACAAAAGATAAAATTGATATAATTAACAATGGAAAAAAAATTGTCAAAAATGAATCGACACTCACCATTGAAGTCAATTCCCTCTGTCAATGCAAATCACTTCAAGGTATTAGCCCCCGGAGATCCCTTTTCTGGGTTAAAATTCAAATTTCCACTCCACACATAACCAAAACAGGTTATTTTGGAAATTCGAAAATTAACCTTTCAAAAAGACCGAGGCCTAAAACCCTAAAGCTGTTGTATTTGCTACAAGGATAGTCACATTTGCTGATCATGTTCAGATGACACTGCGGGAGAGCTGTAACAATAATAAAATTTTTATTAACATCTAACCTAAAAAAAATTTCATTTTTTTTACCAAAAAGTTGCTAAAAATATTAATTATAGTGAAATAATTTAATAATTATTGAATTTATAATAATAAATATAGATATTTTATTGAATTAAATCTTTACTTTTATTTATAATAATAATAGTAAATAATTATTTATATGTATTAAAAATAATCAATTATATTTTTTATTATATTATATTTAAATATTTAATTTAATTAAAAAAATAAAAAAGCCAAAAAAAAATATATTTACTTGATATTAGTTTCCATGCATTTTATTTTGCTTGTATAAAAAAGTTTAAATCGATATAATTAACAATGGAAAAAAAATTGTCAAAAATAAATTGACACTCACCATTGAAGCAAATTCCCATTGTCGAGGCAAACCACTTTAAAGGTTTTAGTTCCCGGAGATCCCTTTTCTGGGTTAAAAATCAAATTTCCATTCCACACATAACCAAAACAGGTTATTTTGGAAATTAAAAAATTAACCTTTCAAAAAGACCGAGATCTAAAACCTCAAAGCTGTTGTATTTGCTGCGACGATCATCACATTTTGTCATCCAATGGCATCGAGGGAGAACTTAAACAAAAAAAAATCACAATAACATTTACTTTAATTATTAAAAACAAACGTTTTGATTTTAGATAATATTTTTACTAAATATGCAAATTCTAATTGTCGAGAATTAGCCATCTGTAAGGCGTGCAAAAAAATTTGCCAGCCGCCATCTTGAAAAAATGTCATGTCGAAAAAATTTTGCAACTTTTTTTCGTTTGCAGACAAAATATCGCTATAATTGATAATATAATCAAATATTTCTTACGATGAGCATTAAATATTAACAGGATGTCATGAATTTTGGGCGATAATGCGAATTTTTGCATTTTTCATGGTGGATGCATGGGCGCCATGACAAAGTACATATTTTACAATTTATTCATATTTCAGTATGCATATATCTATATATTTTCATTCCCCAAGACTAAAAAAATACCCACAACCAAAAAGTTTTTATAAAAAATGAGGAAAACTTACCTTTTCCGAGGAAAAATTCACGCTCCAAACGGACGCCATCCACCACGGAAAATTTTTCGACAGGAATAAACGTGTATGAACGTAGCAACCTTCACTACACTGTGATTGGTTGAAAATCAGCATGGCGTCTGAAATCGTAATTCTGATTGGTGGACAACTTACTGTTTGAGGATGATACTGTATTATATGTATGATTAAATATAATTATATAATTATAATATATAATTATAGTATATAATTTTAAATTATACAATAAAATATTAGACCATTTTCAACATCGTTTATAATTTTTATTGAACTAAGATCAATTTAGGAATTAATTTTCTGTAATATTGCTTTTGTCAGAAGTAGGAAAATTAAAGTATTTTCTTACTTCCGGTTGTGGTAACAGTATTACCAACCTCTGAACAAAAATAACGCTAGTTCAGCAATATGTACAAAATCTAGATTTATTCAAAATGGCTGAAATAAATACATATTGTGTGTCAAAACATTATTTAAGCGATAAATAATTAAAATTTACATTAATATAATGGGATTTTATTGAATTTAATTAAGTTAACACATTTCAGAATTGTATTACTACAAGAAATGTAATTATCAAATTCTACATAAGTGATAATATTCTATAAATTAATAGTGAGTATTTGACACTATTTCTCATATATAAATATTATCTTCTTGCATTTACATTAAATGTATTTATTTCAAGTTAATTTTTTTGTATTCTATATTTTATTTTATGAGATTAATAATTAATTTTTATCAATAATTATTTTGGATTACTTTCAGAAATGTTATTGTTTTTACACTAATATCTGTTTATTTTCGTTGCATTTTACTTTGACCATTAGACACCTTGTAATTAATTAATTTTTTCATATTTTCTTAATTTTCTTTTTTAAAAAAAACTGTTTATTTAATCAATTAATGCTTGTGAAATTTATTAAAGAAAAAAAAATGATTTTAGATGGCTAATCCTTTAGCGAATGTACCTGTATCGCAGATTTTAAAAAATAAGAGTCAATTTGAGGATGAACCAAAGAAAAAAAGTAGAGATGATTGGCGAAAGGCTAAAGAATTGGAAGAGGCGAGAAAAGCTGGTACTGCACCAGCTGCTGTCGATGAGGAAGGAAAAGATATTAATCCTCATATTCCACAATATATTAGCACTACTCCTTGGTATTTTGATGCTCAGGGGCCAACATTAAAACATCAACGTCCACAACCTGAACGTCAAAAGCAATTCAGTGGCATTGACGACTGGTATATTCGTGGACAACAACAACAAACAAATCGTGCTGTTAAATATCGAAAAGGTGCCTGTGAAAATTGTGGCGCTATGGGTCATAAACGTAAGGAATGTTTTGAGAGGCCAAGAAAATTATTAGCAAAATTTTCACAAACACAATTGGCTTCCGATGATGTACAACAACCAGATTTATCACTTGATTATGATGCAAAACGTGATCGATGGGCGGGTTATGATCCCTCTGAACATCGGGAAATTGTCGAGGAATATCAAAAAATTGAGGAGGCAAAAAAAGAAATACGTGCCGAAAAGTTGAATGCTGGTGAAATTGATGATCAGGACTCTGATAAAGATGAAGATAAATATGTCGATGAAATTGATATGCCTGGAACTAAAGTCGATTCTAAACAACGTATCACTGTTAGAAATTTGAGAATACGTGAAGATACAGCGAAATATCTTCGAAATTTAGATCCCAATTCAGCTTATTATGATCCAAAAACAAGATCCATGCGTGATAATCCTTACGCTGGTACAGACAGAGAGTGAGTAGATAATGTCAATTTATTTTTGACATTTTTTTTAAAATTAATATTCTCTAATTTCAAGATAGAGTAAATGATTTTTTGTTTTTTTTATAACGAATTATTTTTTCACAGGGTTGACTATCAAGGTGAGAATTTTACTCGTTTTACTGGAGATACACAGGAACATGCAACGGCACAACTCTTTGCTTGGGAAGCTTCTGGACGTGGATTGGATGTTCATCTTTTGGCCGAACCAACAAAACTTGAACTTTTGAAAAAGGAATACGATAAAAATCGTAGCGAGCAAAAGAATAAAAGTAAAAATCGTGTAATTGAAAAATACGGTGGTGAGGAACATCTCGATGTGCCACCAGCACCTCTTTTATTGGCCCAAACTGAAGAATATGTCGAATATAATCGAGCTGGTAAAATAATAAAAGGGCAAGAACGTCAAGTGATACGTTCAAAATATGAAGAGGATATTATTCCAGGCAATCACAGTTCCGTTTGGGGTTCATTTTGGCGTGATGGAAAATGGGGTTTCAAATGTTGTCATTCATTTATCAAAAATTCTTATTGTACCGGCGAGTCCGGTAAATTGGCAGCTGATGTTCCAATAATTGTCCAATCTACAAGTAATGAGAAAATAATTACTCAACAAGCATCATCGTCAACAGTCGCTGAATTTGATGAGAAAAATGCAAATGATGATGATGATAAGGAAATTGTACAAAAACATGATTCTTCTGATTCATCATTAGAGTCTGATAGTAGTAATTCAAATTCAGATATTGACACAAGAACTGTCACTGAAAAGAAGACGAGTAATAAGGAGAAAAAGATGCAAAAGAAACGAAAACGTAAAGAAAAATTGCGAATGAAGAAAAAGATGAAAACTGAAAGTAAACTTCAAGAAGCTTTAAGGAAAGAAGAAGAAAGTCAAAGAGAAGGTGAATTAATGATTAAATTGGGAGATAGAAATAGATCATACAATAGTATGTACGAAGCAAAGGAGCCAACAGCTGAAGAAATTGAAGCTTTTCAAATTAAACGATCCCGCGTTGAGGATCCTATGGCTCATTTTAAAAATTAAATTATTATTTTCTTTTCAAGAAAATTGTGCATGTAAATAATTATTTATATAAATAATTATTTAGTCACCTGGCAGTAAATTTGAATTCAAAAATTTTAATAAATTCGATATTTTCTAGAATAATACCACGAAATTTTAAAGAAAAATATTATTTTCTTAATGTTTCTTTAATCTTTTCTTTTTTAATAAAGAAATTCTGTATAAACTATTATATAATAAAGTACAATGAATATAATAAGTAGGGAATATGTCAGTGTAATGAAATGTATGTATATAATGTAATTATTGTATATTTTTGTAATATAACGTAAATAAACACTGATTATGTAATAAATTCAAATTTACAATTATTTAAATATTAATTTTAAAAAACTAGTCGATTCTTCGCGGGAATAAATTTGAAAAAAAAAATTTTTTTTAATAATTATTTTTAAAAATAATTATTATAAAATTAGTACAAAAGGTCAAGAAAAAGAATACAACTTTAGATACTTATAATATTTTCTCTAATTTTTATAAACACCTAAAAATAAATTACTATAAGTTAACATAAACATAAAAAATACATTTAAAATTGTCGCACTATTCTAAAAATCGATTACAAAAATAAATTCATCTTAATCTAAAATACAATGGAAAATATAAAATTAAATTAAAAAGTAACGAAATAAAAATCGGGAATTAAAATGAATAAATCACAAGGCAATAAATTGAAATTGTACATAAAGACGATTTTTATTTTAAATACTTCTTGGACACCGATACTTTTGTGTTTTTTTATTTTATTTTTTTTTTTGTTTTTATTATTTATTATTTCTTCACCGTCATTTAAACCATCATAGGCGCTATTTTCGCGTACACGCGTTTATTTTTTTTTTTTTTGTACGGCTCACTGTCATAATGATTCAAAATCTGTTAGACTTTGGGAAATATGGTCGCATGATTGCTGCGAAACGTTCGAATGCCGATGGAAAAGAGCGATTACTATCATTTATCCACTATTTTTCTTTTTTCTTTTTTTTTAATTTATTTATTTATTTATCAACTAACTATAAAAAGCGAGTCATCCATTAATTCTCGATATGAATGGAATCAATGGTATACAATAAATGATTTAAAAAACTTTTTTTTCAAGACAGTTATATAAAATTTCTCGATGACAACGAAAACCCTTTTCCATTCGGTTTTACGTGCGTTACGCAGCCTCATTTCGCTCTGCGAAGACGAACTAGCCTATTAAAAAAGTGACGAAAAGTCATTACGGAATTCATCAAGCCAAGTTTTGCAACAATTTTTTTTTTTTTTTTAATCGATATAAACGAATCCCGTTACAACCTTTCGCAAATAGAAATCTGTCGAACGTCACCCACAATTCACAGGGAACAATTTTTTTTTCTTATTCAGATATACAATATATTTATATTTTCTTTCTTTTTCTTCTTCTTCTTTTTCCTCTTTAAACTAATCAACTTAATTCGATGTTTCAATTTTTATTAATACGGTGATATACAAAGAAAAGAAAAACAAAAATTACATACTTTCTGTAAAAAAAAAATTCACAAATTACTTCCTGGATTTTTTTTTCGTACAGGAAGTATTTTATAAGTTTTGTGTTTTTTTTTTTTTTTTTTTTTTTTTAATTATAATGAGTATTTTTTTCTTATTGCGATGACAGTATAATTTAATTGAAAAAATCTCTCTATACTAAGTCTTCTTTGTTGCCTCTCATTTTTTTTTCTTTTTTTTTATCTAGCTGCGTAACATATGTAATATAAATGCGTCAAAAAGTATAAGATACGCACATTTATTTATATTATTTTTTTTAGCTAAAATTCATTCCTCTTCATCGTTCCAGCGTGAATCGTGAAATTCGACAGGATTGAAATTGTAAACATTATTCGTAGGTCGGAACTAGATACGGATATTCGATCAAGCATCAATGAATATGTTTCACAAATCTATTAACGCCGACAATCAGGCAATTTAGCAAACGTTTCCTTTATTTTATTTTTTTTATCATATACTTGTTTCTTTCTCTCTGTCTTGGTATCTTTCTTTCTTTCTTTCTTTTTTCTTCTTCTTTTTTTTATCCTATTATCATTGCTTTCTCTTTTTCATACATTCTCACACAATCATACCACATATCCAATATTATCGTTATTATTATTATTTATTATTATTTTAATATCCGCAGCCCAATATACACAGTGGCCGAACGCAAGCAACAATATATACACATTAAAAAGCATTGATACAAGTACAATTAGAAAGACTTGCGAGACCAAGGAATTTTCGAAAAATTCCTCTTCTTTTCAAATAAATATGTTTATTAAACATTTTTAAAAGCGACCAAAAAATTTTCTAAATCAAATTGTTCGTGAATTTGAAAAGAAAAAATTTATCAATATATATTTTGTGAATTTCATTTCCAAAATTTTACTGATATTTTTTTTTAACATCTTATAATTAAAAATATAAAAAAGCAAAACATAAAATTTGTTTCTTTTATCAGTTCCTTGCTCTTGCATGTCTCTCCCTTGCTCTCTACTCTCGTTTATTTCGCTCACTTTTTTTCTTTATTATTTTTTTAATCTCCTTCGCGCCCCTAGGCCGCATCGTCGTTAATTCTCCAAATTTCGTAGAAGAAAAAACACGGATGCAATTCGCGATTTCTCGCAACTTTATAATAAATTACAAGTTGCAGGCTCTTTGGAACGACACTCGCTTTGACAACTTATACTGTCACAGAACATGCCATGTTGGATGTATAAATATTATATATATAATATTTATAAATAATTATACATTTTGTTGTTGTTGTATAATCATATTTATACATATACGTAAATGCCTTAAGACTACCTAAGAAGCCCTAATACTGCACATATCTTCAATTTTACATCGATATTCATTTTGCTTTTCCTCGCCTTTTCTCTGACATTAAAAAGATTAATTTTAAAGACAATTTCCCCCCTACATTATGGGAAATGTTTCAATAATTAAAATTCTATTTAATACAATCTTTAGAAAATTGAATATTTCTTAAAGATTTGTAAATTTTTTAATAATAAAAATTTTCTAATTTATCGTAATTCTTTTTTTTCAAAGAAAAAATAACATTTTTCATTAAAATTGAAACATTTCACATTTTTAGTCTCTACCTCTATATTTATAATGATCATCTCTTGAAATTTGCCGGCTGTAGATTAAAATAATCTAAAGAACTTTTTTCGGTGTGTCGTTTAATATTTACGAAAATGTAAATTTAAAATTTTTTTTGTTAAAATTTATTCTAGGGAATATTTTAATTTTTAATAAAAAATCGATTTTAGATTGATAGAGGCCTTTATATTATTTTTTTTTTAGGCAAATCATTTGTAAAAAGAGTACTTATGATCGAGTTGTTCAAAGATAGAATAACTATTTGGTTATCTCATCTTATATAATATAGGAGGAGAAAAATTTTTACGGACGTACTCTATTAATGATTCTTTTCTTTTTTTTTAGGCTTTTTTTTAGTTTTATGTGGTTACGATTAATGAGAATACTGATCGATGAAAAAATCTATTGATCACTCTTTAAAAAATTCCATTGTAAAAATTGATCAGCTCATCATTCGAACCAGTTCACATCAAAAATGTTGAGTAAAAAGTAGCCTGTACGATCATTTCTTCGTAGAATTAAATTTTTTTTTTTGAAAATCTATTTTTCTTTAATTAAATTTAATCAATAAATTTTTTTCACCAAATTAAATTGGCAAAAAACAAAATTTATGTAAAACATCATAAAAGTAATTTAATTTATAATTGAAAAATTCTGAATCTCTATCATAAATTAATTATCTGTTTTTTGATTCTAAAGATCAAAGTTTCAGAGTTTTTCAGAGAATACAAAAATTATAATTTAACAGAAATTTAAATAATTATAATGAAAATGTATAAATAAAATATAATGCAACGAAGAGACGATTAAGGCAAGACTACATGTTTGTGGTCGTTTGCAAAAAGTTATACTACAAATATGTTCATATGAATGTACAAAATTTTGGTACGATCAAAAGTGAGTGAACAATCCGTTTTATCAACTCTAATTCAAGCTCAACAATTACATTCACGCATTATCACTATATTCAAAAACGCTTGTTTTTTTATTTTTCCCTTTATAAATATGACAACACGCACGCTTTTTTTCACGTTAGAAGGCGTTGTATTTGATTTGTTTGATTATTATTAATATTAATATTATTATTAGCATGATATCGTAGTATTCGAAAGATCTCTTGTATTAACATCAAATTCACATGCCTTCGAACCGAAAAACACATTTTTTTTATAGAAAACATTGAAATTCCAAATATGGAATGTCCTTTTTGACACACACGAGATTTAAATACTGCAGCAATCGCAACATCCGAAAGCATCTCGACTAAAAAGCAATGAGATTATAATAATTATTAATAATAATAATAATTAAAAAACTAAAAACAAAGATCTTGTAAAATGATACGATTTGAGTTTAATTATTTGAACTTGTACTGATATTGAAGTTCATAACGTCTTTACACAGCATTCAATTAGTTTCTCTGTATTTAATATATATAATATATATATTTTTTATTTATTTATTTATTTATATTTAAAAATGTTATCACATGTGAAATTAACATTCGTCGCATCGACCAATGATTTTAGATGTTGAATCGCTGAAATGTACCACTATTATCATCTTAACATCAAGTTCCATAAAATTATGGCACATCTATAGATGACACTTGCTTTCTAATTACTTGAAGCACATTTCGAAATCGCAACGCGAACTAAAGAAAACGATAAAACTATGAAATTAAAATTTTCTATTTTTCCCGTTGATATTTTAAAATATAAAAAATTTGCAATTCAAAAATTTTGATAATGAATTATTAAATTGCAAATGAGGGTCATAGTTTTCTAGAATTTTTTTTTTTAATAACTGTGGGAATAGGCGAGTTTTATCTAAATTTTGTTTAATTTTATTCCTGAGAAAGGAGTCTCAATAATTTGTGCGTTGAGGCCTGTGCAAGAATTTAAAAAATGGAAAAAAGCATTAACGTAAGAGCAACATCGAGTATGTTTCGTACCATTTAATCGCTAACGATTCAACGACCGCTAACACATGCTAATAAATACAATGTCTTCCATACATCCAACATGACTCATGCATACTATTAAATTTTTTTATATATAATGACAGACGACTTATGATAAATCGTCAATGCCAATTTGAAAATTCGGCTCATCAGGAATCATGAATTTGATCAGATTAGTTATATAGTAAAGAAAAACTCAAAAAAGACCCTGAAATTAAAAAAAAAAGTGGGAAAAAATTCTTCGTTTCGCGTTATCTTTAGGCTTAATCTATAATCGTATAATACCTATGACGAAAAAATAAAACTATTATAAACTAAGTTGAGACCAACTATTATGCGTAATTGTTCAAGTTGTTCATTTTTTGTGACATAGATTCGAAGAGATTCAAAGCTGACTCTGCTCGCTTGAAATTGAGCATTTCTTTTTTTTTTTTTTTTTTTTTTTTTGAAGGGAAGAAAAAATTATATATAACAAATATACCTTACTATACAAGAGAGAAAAAGCATACTATTGCTCTGTGGTCGGGATACCTTGTCTCATGGCACGTTTACACCTAGACCATTACAATGGCTTCCTTGCCGCAGAATAGAAAAGGATATTGGTCGATCATTGTCTGCACAACATCTTCCAAATACGGCCTCATTGCTTCGAATCTACCCAAATCGTTGAATTCAATTGGTAAGAGCGTAGGCCACCAGCAAATTGCCAAATTTTTGCTATCCATACTATTTAGCTTACAATTTTCAGCCACTCTGCAAAAAAAAATCATTCAAAAATTTAAAACAAAATTTCCTTTAAATTTGGAAATAAAATTAAAATATCTACAAAGAAGATTACAAATAAATAAAAAAAAAATTTTAAAACACTCACTTTACAAAATGTTGAAAAATGAATTTAAGAACATCAAAGTTGACTGGATTTAATTTACTCAGCATTTGTCGTAGGGCCAATAGTCTACAACTTCTATCTATAATGGCATAAATTAAGAAAATTAATATTAAATTTCATTAAAATTTTGCATTTAAAATTTCATAGGCGATTTACCTTCCATATTCATGCAAGTAGATGATGTTGATGTACTAATTCCACGCGCGCCTAAAGAAAAATACAATTAAAGATTGAAATTATCAAGAAAAACGATTAAAAGTTTTAAATAAATTTTTTTGCACTTTACCTGAAATATCTTCTAATTGGGCCATACGTTCTTTATCAATAAGCGGTGGTAATCTCTTTGAGAAGAAATCTTTTAGAGCCGTTGCCACGGCATTTACAGGAATGTCCAAAGAATGTATATCGACGTTAACGTCTTTAATAAAATTTATAATTAAATTATTTTATTAATTCTTTATATAATTTTCAATTATTTAATATAAAAACGAAATTTGTTTTTAAAAAATCCCCCCCAAATAGAAAATAAAAACAAATTTTATAATAATTTTGTTTTTCAAATCAAAAATTTGTGCCGACTTACCTTCCTCAAACTTTTGAAAGAGAAGATCAACGTGTGCTCGATTTCCAGGTACTCTATAAATTCCTTCGGAATCAAGTCCCTCGTCCTCAATAAAGCGTACACATTTTTCAAGAAAAAGAGGTATTCGATTTGTTTCACTTTGAGCAAAATCTTCAATTAATGGTTGTTGTTGCATTTGAGTTGACATTGTTATTGCTGTACTACTTTTTGTCTGCTTCATTTTCTCCTGTTTCTTTTTTTCTCGTTCTCTTTCTTTCTCCGCATGTTTCTTTAATTTCTCCTCTTTCAATCGACGTTTCTCCATTTTTTCATCTTCCTTCGCCTTTTGCTTGTCTCTCTTTCTTGTTAATTTATCGCCATCCTTTCCCTTAGTAAGAATACCAAACTGAAAAAAAATCCATTATTGTTTTTGAAATAAAAGAATTATGAAAATATTTGAAATTTTTAATTTACTCACACTGGGAGAATTTATTTCTCTCGGAGAGGAAACATCAATACTAGATTCATCATCGGGCATATTTCCGAAATTATTATCACCTCTATGCTTGGCTGAAATAAAAATTTTTTTTTCGAAAAAATTCATATTTCCACAAAAAAATATAATTAAGTTTTGATACTTACAATGTGTGGAAAACATATCGTGTGTCATATGTTTTAAATTAAATGGATGCTGCAATGTAGCTGCTAAATGTTGATGCGGAATGGAATTTCCAAATCTTTTCTGTAAATGAGCCGCGGCTTGTAAGTACTGCTTTGATCTTGATCTAGAATTATGCTCTGGATCACTCGATTCTGATGAGTCTGGAGATTCGCTGGAAACTAATAAATAAATAGAATAAATTAATACTCTACTATTAGAAAAAATATTCATAAATTTTTTTTTGCATTTTACCTCTTTCAATTGGATCAACTCTCCAATTTTTATCGTCCTTCATTCCATAATTTAGACCAACAATACCTTCACCACTTTTCATGCTAGTTAAAGATGGAACCTTGGGTGTAGCAACTGGTATTGCAGTTCGCTTTTTGCGTATTCTTTTATGAGCCGATGCTTTTTTATTCGCTGAACCAACATAATCAGCTAATGTCTCCAATGAACTCCATTCTGAATCTGAATCGCTATAAGCTGAAAAAACAAATTCGAAATAAATAATAATTAATTTCCTTTTACAAAAAAAAAAAAAATCAACTTACATGGTTGTCCCTTTTTTCGCCTGTATCTCATTTTCGATTTATTATTTCCAATAGAATCATGAACAAGTGTATACATATAATCTCCATCGTATGAATATAAATTTGGAACAACGTCCTTGACCTGAGCATATTCTGAACCGAGATCAACCAATTCCGGTGTAGCCAATGGCGCGTGACCCAACATTTTAGATCCATGTTCATCCTTCTCGCCAATGGTCATACGGGCAATCGCGTCTGTCACATTTGAAAAATCCTTCAAATTTATCTTACCCGGTTGCTTAAGCGTTTGGCTATTCCCTTTTGGACGTGGTTTAGTTTGCGATATATGACGACGACCTGTTGTAAATGCCCGATGGGAATAACTATTCGAGACACTATCCTGATTCATGAAGGTTTCTTTTACCCAACCTATAATGGTAATAAAATATTTTACAAAATTCTCCACAATTTTGATTTAAAAATATAAATTATATTTATGATTCATTACCTGGTAGTTTATTAGCTTTATGCATTTCTCGTTCTCTTTCTTCACGATGAAAATCAACTTGACTGTAAATATCACTGTCATCACTGGGTGTAGCTCGATTATGACAAAAATGTTCATTTAAACCAGTCTCTCCAAGTTCACCATCGGGAGTCAATTGCTCGTATGACTCGGAACCACTTCTAAAAGTGACAGACATACTATTTCGAGTTAGATTTTTAATTCACATAAATAAAACATTATTGTATTCGAGAAATCATAACTTGGGGGAAGAAAAAAACACACAAAATTTTTCTAAGAAAACTTACCCATCGTCAGGTGTTTGAAGATGATAACTTTCATGACGAGGTGGTGGCATTGGATGAAGTGCTGAATATTCCAAAGTTCCTTCTCCACTGTCATTCAAATTACCCGGTTCTTCCATATTAAATGCTTGTTCAATTTCTGGTTTCTTCTCCCAAACTTCTTTGAAGAATGGTGTATAGAAAGCAGCTAATTTTTTTTTTTAGAGAAATGTCATATATTAAAAGTTAAATTTTATTAAAAATTTGCTATTATAGAATTACATTTTCTACTCACTTTTTTGTTGACAACTGGATGAAGATGTCATGAAATGAGCCTGAAGCCTATCTGCAGTTGCATTACCCTCGGTGATAAGTAAATGACTTAAATCATTGCTAAAGAAAGCATTGGCACCTCCACTTTCCGTAACAGCCATTATTTGTATCGGTAAATTTGGAATATTCATCGAAAATGCACTGCAAACAAAAGCATTTAAAAAAAAATTTTTTTAATAAAATTAATTATTTATATATTACTTATACTCACTTTAATGTTGCAAGAGAAGCTTTTCTTTTAGTAGAATACACCAATATAAAACCATGAACAAGTTCATCTCGAAAAGCGTTTGCCCCATGAAAACTTGATATAATCACCTCTACTCGTCGTTTTGATTCACCTAAATAAGTTTCCAATACAATTGATCTTTCACCACTTAAAAAACAACACTGATGACTTAGCAATGGACCAAGAACATTCTCGACGGAATAGGGATCACCGCAGAACATACACATTATAATTCTAAAACAAAATAATTTTAACAAATTATCATTTTTTTTATTATTATTATTTTTCTTTTTTTAAAAAGGAGAAAAATTTACCTAATATCAGGTTCCAGACATTCAATCACACTCTGATAAATGTTTATAAAACCCGCACGATGATTTATTGACTGTACAAGTTGCTGTAAAGCTTCCTTGACCAGCGAACTTGGAAAACGTTTATTTTGCTCCAAATCGTCAATGCAAACATCAATAAATGGACATTGTAAACTGTCAGCTAAATTTTGCCCTTCCACACGTAATCGTGATGCTTCCATTTCATCAATACATTGATCAGGCACAAACATGATCACGATAGGTAATCCCTGGAATGGTAACCGATCTTCCTGTTCCAAATTTGAAAGAAGTGTTTTCTCCAAAGACGAACGAATATATTCAAATGAATCTTCGTTTGAGTAAATGCAAAATGATCCTAAAAGAAAAAACAAATTTTTTCATAGAAATGAAAGAAATTAATTTTGAAAGAAATAAAATGTTAAAAAAAAAAAAATGTTTCCATCTTTACCATGAGGCATAAAATCCGATGTTGTGAATGAATTGTGCGGTAATCCAACATCTCCGTCGATAACTCTATAGCCAAGTGTATACATTTGACAATCAATTTCAACCTCATCGTCTTCTGTCTGCGCTCTAATCTCACAAGCAAATTCCTCACTAAGCCCATTACTACCAAGAATTACTAAATTTAGCTGATTATTATCGGACGTTAATTGCCACTGACTACTATGATTCCAGGAAGACGGTCTACAATTAAAATTGATCAATTAGATAAATTTTCTTCAGAATATAAATAAATATTAAATTTACAACTTATTAAACAATTTTTTAACCTGTGCGCCTTTGTTCCAAGTATTCGCTCAATAAGAGCGTCCATACAATTTGGAAACGCGGGACAATGTTCCCTAATAGGACAATGTACAAATCCTAAATGTTGAAAAAGCATCAGCTTTCTATCTTGATCCAATCTATCTAAAGCCTTATATCTGTAAATAATTAATTCAATAAATTTTTTGGCAAATTAAATTTAGTAAATTAAATTACTTCTCAAATTACAAATTTGAAATCTATAAAATCAGAAAATTTAAAAAAAATTTAATATTTAAAAAAATAGAACAATTTTTCAAAGACTCACCTAAAGTCATCTAACAATGCATCAGTTATATCTTTTATATCATCTTGAGTAATAGTACCGGATGGTGCTAAGCTTTTAAAATGATAAAAGAGATCGGCATGTTCCAATAATAATTCCTTAAAAAAATATTCGCAAGGTTACTTGAAAATTGACGATAAAAATTTCTTTTAAAAATCAAGTGAAAATATTTTCATAGCAGAAAAAATCGGTTTTAATAAATAAAATTTTTTTTAAAAATTTGAATACAGAGAAAAACCCAGAAATTCTAAAACTTACTTGAAAATTATGTTTTGCTTTCTCGATAATCTCTTTTTGATGTTTATCATAAACTTCTTGACAGTCGTGATGTGATAGAGCTTCAAAGCATTCTCGACCCATGAAAAGTACTCTAACTTCAGAAAGATGTTTTCCAGGTGTAACATAGCCCGTTTCCTCCAGCAACAACTTAAAATGCTTTTTGTATCTAATAGAAAATAAATATATTAACAAAAATTTTAAATCACATTAAAAAAATTTCACTAGTAAAAAGCTATTTCTTTTTAATGATTCTTTTTTATAATTTACAAATTTTTAAATTTACTCTCATTTTCTTGAAATCTATTATTTTAATAAATTTAATTTACAAAATTTTATTCATTTACGACTTTTATTCATATCTTTAAAAAAAAACATAAAAATGTACTTATCCTAATAAAATAAGTTTAAACAAAACTATTCTATAATAATTTCAAGGCTGATTTTCTATAAAAATGAAAAATTTCTCGCCAACATCTTATATAAGCTACTAGCGAATGGCGCGCGAGATAAATAGCTTGCTATTAACTATGCTACTTTCTGCTGCCAGATAAATTAATGCCCAGCGTGTGAAAACTATGATAAGTAAAATTTAGCTGTAATATAGCGTGTAAAATTACCTTTTTGGAAGTCTGCAAAAAGAAACGCCACCCAGAATAAAGCAAAGCATTAGTACACTACTTATAAATATCACAGGCTATATAATTTTAAATTAAAAAAATTAGTTTTCCTTTTTTTTTTGATGCAAGATACAATTAGGTATCGAGCCGATAACTAAACTAATTCTAAAACCTATTTCTAGGAATAATTAAATAAAATAAAAATTCAAAATCTTACTCAAGTCTCCGTTGCTCCTGTTGTAAAGCATTTATATGATTCTTAAAAACTGTCTCAGCCTCTGACGTTTCCAATACGTCATAAGGAATTTTCGAAGTATTATTTTCACCAAAGTCATAATCAATCCAAGAAATATCTTCAGGGCATTCATAAAAGTACTGATGAAAATCCGGATGTTCTTTTATATATTGTTGAACAATTGACCACTCTCTGATGGAAAAAAAAGAAAAGAAAAATAAGAAAAAGTATTAATTTTACAGAAAAAAAAAAATTCGATACCTACTCATTAATTAAATTAGAAATATCTGGACAAATTTCATGAAGTATATCAGGAAGCATATCCAAATAGCCTTGAACTTTTTTCGCAACTTGTTCGTCTTTTAATTTTTTAATATGCCTTCTAAACAATCTTTGTGTAGCGTCAATACCAAATAGCTCAACAAAAGTCATATATTCTTTATGTTGTGCTAATTTTTTCGATGCCTGTGACCATAATGCACGATAATCAGAGACATGCATTCTTATAAGCCTTTGTAATGATTCAGTTGATGCATCTAATAGTTCTTTTCGTCCCCTTGCTGCTTCACTAAATGGTATTATTTTACTACGTATTTTGGTTCTATCGACCAATTGTGCCAAAATCATAAACGCCAAATCAATATTAATATTCTCATGTGACGATGTTTCAACAAAGGCTATTGAATTTTTGTACTCTTTACGTAAAATAAGTTTCTCCGCTTCTTTAACATATTGTTCATTTGCATCATCATTTTTTGTTGTTACCAATACAACGGGCTTTTTTGTTTTCACTAGATTATTTAGAATATTAGCAACGATCTCAATTTGCTTTTCTACTGGACGATTAGGCACAACGCTCACATCAAAGACGCATAAAAAACCATCGATATTCAATTTGCCATCGGGTAAAACTTTTTGCTCATATTCTTTTTCAATACCAAGCTGATTTTTACAAATGTACATCAGCTTTTCAGCGCTTGTTATTTTTGTTGCCGAACAACGTTTTCCATATGGCTCCATTTTGCCGCCTTTGAACGGCTGAAATGAAGCATCGTCTATAAATTCAGTGTGTTCTATCACTTGAAATTGATACTCCAAACCATCCTCAGCCGTTTTGTAAACTTCACCCCAATAGAGAAAATGATCATTGTTCACCACTCGACCACTGAAATCCGACTAAAGCAAAAAAAAAAGAAATTTTAAAAAATAAATTACACTTTTTTCATGTTTTTTTTTTATTTGGAACTAAATTATAAATATTATTATTTTAGTACCTTTTTTCTTGTTTAAAAAGTTATATTTTATTTTTAAAAAGAATATAGAATACTTTTTACACTTGAAAACAAAAGCTAATTTTATTTCAACTAAAATTCTCCAAGCCAACAAAAAAGCCTTTTATGTAAATTACCAACAAAGTGCTTCATTTTCAATGTTCAATTTTCTTTTCATTGCATTAATATACAGAATAAATTATTGTAATTCATTATATATTTGAATACGTTTGTCTCAATATAATCCAGGTTGAAAATTAATTTATTTATTTACTTGATAAATATTATTGATTATTTCTTTATAAAATTACTCTTATATCATATTATAGTATATTTAAAAATTGGATTCAATTAAAAAAAATTAAAATACGATTTTTCTTTTTTTTTCAGTAAAAAAGTATTGAATTAAATTGAAATAAATATCTTGTGACTAATGAATTGGACCTTTCAGTGTAATTAACAATTTGTATGGTTAAAATACAAACTTGTACAAATTTACGTTTATAAAAGGGAATAGCTAAAGAAGTTTTCCTCTGACTGCTCTTTCTCTCTTCCAACTAATTTAAAGTAAACAAGAATTCAATATTTACCTGTGAGAGAACGGAAATATGATCCACACTGTAATCGTCGCTGAGAGATCGCATAAAACGATTACAGAGGCATGATTTTCCAACACCAACGTGTCCCTTGTCCTTTTCTGTACCAGATAAGCCAACGACGGCAACATTGATGATCCTCAAGTTATCGCTCTTTCGCGCCATCGTAAAAAATTACACGCATCCAGGTAACGCACAGAATATAATCATATGTGAAAATTGTACTTGCGTACCGTTACCTTCGTTGAATATCGTTATATATATATTGTATTTTTTTTCAGGACATTTTTTCTTTTCATTCAAATAAGAAAAGATGCACTTCTTTTTTTCTTAATTATCGAGATTCGAATAGAATAACTTTGGTCATTGAGATTCAAAACATTATTTATAAAAATCAGTACTATTTCCCTTTGGTAACATCTTTGACGATATTGCAACAATTTATTTGACTTTGTTTACTTTTGTTTTTTTTTTTTTTTGTCAATAGTTAAATGACATCACAGTTTACATTCACTTCTTTTTTTTCAAGTAAAATCTATTATATTAATTGTGTGCGCTTAGAAAAAACATTCGTCTAGATTGTAATACTCAACGTTTTCAAAGGATAATTCTTTTTTTTGTGATTAGTAAAAATTTCCAGTGAAGATTAGTATTAATTCAACGGGCGTTTTTTTTTTTTTTTTTGTGGAATATTTATAATGCTACTTTTATCGTTAATTGTACGATTTACGAATTTTTAGCACAACAATGAGCAATTGTTATCTGGAATGGCACTGTTTGTCTGAAAAAGAAAAATCAATAATTTATATTAATAATAATATGAGAGAAAATTAGAGAAACTTTTCAAAAAATAAAATGTTAAATTCTATTTTGCTTTAAATTAATTTACAATTCCATGTATTATTTAATACTTTGTAAGCTCATTGCTTCTTTCTGGCTACGACATCATAAATTAATTACATATGAAAAATTAATTAATTAAAATTTGTGTGAATTTTACATAATTTGAAATTCAACTTTTAACATGATATAAAATTTATAAAAAAAATAATTATTTAATTATTTTTCATATTTATAAATTAATAGTTTTGTCTTAAATTTTAAATTTCAATTAAAAACATTTCATAAAAAAAATTATTAAAACATTTTTCAAAAAATTCACAAAATGAATTTTTTCTTCAAAACTACTCTTACTCTGTTCTTTTTTTTTTTAAATAAAATAAAAAGAAAAACAGTAAATTAATTTTAAAAATCAACTCACATATATGAGACTCTTGAACGGAAACTCGTCCAAACGTTATTTACTTATTTTTTTTTCACTATATTTACTTAAAAATTGTGCCAGCACAAAATCATTAAAAAAAAACCGAAAAAACAACAATTTTATAAATCAATACTCACAATATCATTTAAGGTACATTTGAGGCTTTTGAACTATATTTCATCCAATTGTTATTTGCTTATCTTTTTACTTTGTACATTTCAAATTGAAAATCGTAAATATAAAATAAATTTCACTTTAAATTATTTAATTATCAATTTTTTATCTTAATTTCCCATTAAATTTTTACGAATTTCTGACATTCTCGTATTGCTAGAAACCTTGATATAATTTTAACACTTTCAAACGCTTCAAATGAACAATAAATGATTTTCAAATTATGTAAACATAATATTATTTTTGTATATATTGAGTTAAAAATTTCCGGCATTATGGAAATAAAGTTGCCGTTTGAATGTCGGACATCAGTTTCACCTTCATTAAAATTGCATGAATTTTGTTACAAGTTCATTACCATATTCAACACACATGTGTAAAACTGTTAAACCAAATTTGTATAACGCATATATATACTTTATTTGGAACTTGTTCATTTTACTCTAAAACGTTAAAATGAAATCTATCTTGTCCTCGGTGCAAAATTATAAAGATCACATATACTACAAAAATTGTTTAGATTTACTTATTTATTTAAATATATTCCTTATAATTTTGCATAAATTGAAAACAATGAATAATACATTTCTTTATGATTACTCATACAATGTTTTCTTGATACCATTTTCATAAAGCATTAAAATCAACAGAAACTGCAGCTATTGTAATCATTATCATAGAAAAATTAAATTAAAAAATAATATTTAGAAAAAAAAAGGTAAATGATATAACTGAACAAAAATTTTGTATTAAAATGAAATATTTGAAATTATGAATAGAACAAAGATTACTGTAAATACACACGTGTAATAATACGTCATTTCAGAGAAAAGAATTAACACTGCAATCATTTTCATAATATTTCAATTCTGAGTCACTTTAGAAATGAAAATGATCAGGTACAATGATAATATAGTTAGAAATCCCCCTCTTATAAACTTTTACATAACCAGTTATTAAAACAATGTAAATTATAATGACCCTTTAAAGGATAATTTATCGAAAATTCACCACATTAAACTCACTTATACTTTATAAGGATTAAATCAGTGCTACTCCAAAATACAGTATCGATTAAAAACTTGTATCAAAGGATAATGTATACGTTTACCGAAATAGAAGTATGTACTAATGACAAACTTAGAACAGGTGTGAAATTACAGACCTCATTAACGCTTCCCATTGACCTTGTAAAAAGACTACGTATAGAATACTTGTGCACAACTAAAAAGAAAGGAAGCTGTGCTCTTACGAATGGACACTTTTCCAAAGAAGTCACTTATTAAAGAATCAAAAGAAAATTCATTAAAACGTAGAAAAAAAACAGGTTTTGTCGATGATTAATTCCACTGTTTAATCTAAATTACAATTTATAATCTATTATTGCACAAGATTACCATCACACACACACACATACACATATATATTTATATAGTGAGATAAACAAAGAAGATAAAAATTGAGAAAAGTAGATTGACCGCAATTACTACTTAAGTACATTATCTTTTCCTGTGTTTTCTTCCCAAAATGGATCGCGACTTGACACCGTAAAATAGAAAGCTACATCTCTACAATCCCTAACTGTGTGTGAATGGAAACGAGAACTGTTGCACAGGGGGGCCACAAAAAACTGAACCTTTGCGTCTGTCACAACAATGCATATACTATTTGACAGCTAGTCAATGATGATTTAAACATATAATTTTTTTCTTTCAACACACAATGTTTACTAATCTTATTAAAATGCAATTCACAAAATATTAAGAAATATTCTATTAAACGTGATTAATGCGAGAGGAAAAACTATCACATTTCCAAATGACAGCAGCGAATAGATCAATATGCATTGTACACAATCGCGAGCAATTTTTTTGGTGATGGGATTTTGGTAGAAATTTCATATCAGTATTTGATATTGCTGAAATTTGTCAGCATTAACTGAATTATTTATAAGTTTAATACGAAAACTCAATAAATTTTGGGTGATATTATAAAATACCTGGGGAATGCTGAAGTCGGAGCAGGGGAGTATGTACGAGTCTGGCACGCCAGCCGGCCGATCGCGCATTTTTTGGGGAAAAACTATCTTTTCTTACACTAAATTCTTGCACAAGATCTCACCTTTCACTTTCTGCACTCGCGAAAACTCTTTATATCTTCAAATCGGGTTTAGGAAGGCGTTTAAATTCAGGCTTGTACATAAATTAACGTCAAATGTTGAGTACTGCCCCGTAAAGGAGCCATCTTGGTGTTGGTGGGTGGGCGAGTATGAACAGGGTTGGGTTGGGTTGCGTTTGTAATACAGGCGAACCTCTCATATAAAGACAACCTCTAATAAGACAAATTTCCGAATAATAAACGATAAATATAAAAGTAAAAATATGTAAAACACAACAATTATATAAATCATCATATATTAAAAAATACTGTGATTACACACACTTTATTTTTTTTGCTTATTTAAAAAAAAATTGTCCAGAAATGAGAGCGAATGAACCAACACTACAGGCGCAAGCGCACTACAGCCCTTCATGTGAACAATACCTTAAGAAACTAAGAAAACCACATGAAGAAGATGTCAATGTGTTTGTTTTAATATTTTATAGCTTTAATTTATAAATAAAAAACAATAATAATGAACTCATTAAGAAATAAATTATCAAATCGGTAAGTAAAATAAATTTACTTTAATTTTTATCAATTGTCGTTTGATTCTTCAATCTTAAATACAATCTTAATTGTTTTTTCTTATTTTTATAGGTTAAGTTTTAATATTTTTTTCTTTTTAATATCTGAAAATTCGATTTTTTTTTAAAATAAATAAATTAAAAAACTATTAATATAATTCTTTCTTTAAAAAAATATAAGCAAAATTATTTAAAATTCAATTTAGGAAATTAATGCAAAATGGATTTGTACATTTACAATCATATTCATCGTCAACATCGCCTACAAATATTCAAATACCAAATAGAAAAGAACGAGGTCCTACTGATATTTTAATGGTACGAAAATTAAAATAATATATAATATAATAATAATTATTATTCATTGAGTTATTAAATATTTTGTAGGCTTTAGAAAGTACAATTCGAAGAGATCCTACAGCTCCCCATTATAAATATATAGATGATCCTAATTTATTACCAATAACAAATCTCGAGAAACGATCATATGCTCTGTCAAAAGAGGCTGGAAGAAAGGCCGCAATGTGGGTTCGACAAGAACATGCAGAATATTTTCAACATAAAGTTGCTGAACCTTTTATTGATGTAATTTATTAATTACTCACGAATTCATTAATTTTTATATTATAATTTTGTTATAAATACTAAATTAAATTTCTAATTTTACAGTACTATGCTCCACGTGCTGTTTATACAGAAAAGGATAATGTCTCAGAAGAAATACTATTAAATAATATTAAATCTGGTTATGTTAAGGAGTCACTTGAAATATATAATTTATTAGAACAAAATGTCAAAATCGAGACTAAATTAGCTCTTTTTGAATTGTTATGTTTTTACAATTCAATGGAACAAATTGATGAAGAATTAATGGAAGAACGATGGTATTCGAGCAATAGTATCCTAGAGGGGAATAATTGGAAGTAAGCAATATCTATAAACAAATAAATCAAAACATCATTTAACAAATAATAAATTTCAGAGAATGTTCAGATAAACAACATTTGTTTCACATTCTAACACAAGAAAAAGGTGATATAGCAACAGCAGCTTACAATGTCATGATAACTGGTCTTATAAAGTTTAATAATGTACGTATTTAAAAAAAAAACAAATCATTTTTGAATCTGTAAAATAATTATTTAAAAAAAATTTCACTTTAGTTAGTTAAAGCTTGGGATTTATATGAGGAATGCAAGGAGAATAATATCCCGCTATATAAAATAACGTATGATCATTTAATAAAGGCAATTATAATTGCAAAACATAACGACGGTGATCGTTTGATTTTAATGCAACAAATGTACAAAGAAATGATGATTAATAATTTACGACCTGATGTTAAAACTATGAACGCCTCTTTGCATCTCCTATCAGTTTTGAAAATAGTACAAAAGAGTTCTATGCTTTCAATGATTCTCAATGAATTCAAAAGTATAAATGTGAAACCATCTCTTGCATCTCATTACTATATACTTAAATGTTTCTCTAAAAGTAGTAAGTATATTTTTTAAAAATTTACTTCGGAAATAATAAAATCTACTAATTGATTTATTAATAAAAAAAATTTAGATCAATTGTTGAAGACAGTTCTAACTGAAATTATGGATATATTGGAGAATGAAAATCTAAAAGAATTTTCATCTATTGAAGATGCATTATTTTTTCCTCATGCAATGCAATGCGCCTATTATGCTAAATCTATGATTCTTTGTAAAAGACTTAATAATCTTATGTTAAAAGATGACAATTATAAATTAATCAGAGGCAATTATCAGGTTTGTTATTTAAAACAAATGCTTTTCTTTTTATAAATCTATATCATTTTAGAAAAATTTATTTATTCTAAAACTATATATTTATCATTTTAGGAGAATGTCTACTATCGAAACTATTTATTATTGCATTTAAAATTATTGAGTCCTAAATCATTTAAAGAAGTATATTTAGAATTGACGCCACATATTTACACTCCGGAAATGCCAATTTTTAAAGAAATTCTCGATTCATTAATTGAAACAGAATCAAGCGAAGTAACAGATATATTACAATATTTATGCTCGCAAGCAATATTGTTTGAATACACGAAAAGCAGTGTAATTCTTGAAAATTTAGTGGATCTCATGTGTAATCATTGTAAACCTACGGCTGATTCGACATTAAATAAAAGTTTTGCTGAAATTGCTTTGCAATTTTGGACTCAGATGCAAGTTTGTATTGTTTTTCTTTTCATATTTAATGCAAAGCTACAAAATTCAAAATTATTTATATATATATATATATATATATATATATATATATATATATATATATATATATATATTATTTTGTTTTAGGAAGCTAACATGACATCTAGACGAGGATATACTTATGAAGCTAGTACTTTGGAAAAATTGTCATTACTCTGCGTACGTGGTGGAGAATTTGATAAAATGCTAGAAATATTATCTACTTTGATAAATAATCAGAATATAGTTATTGCAACAATGTCCCCCAAAGGGATAAAAGAATTATTTACTGCTTGTTTGGCAAATGGACATTGTGAAGCTGCTTTGGTAAAATCTCTCTTTTTTTGTTTAATTAAATTTTCAATTTTAATTATTTGATATATTTTTAAATATAATGTAATATAAGAAGAAATATATATTAATTATAATAAAAATAAATAATAATAATAATAATGAAATTTCAGAGTTTAATCGAATACGCGATTGAGTCTGGCTTTGACGAGCAAATATCAATGGGTATGAAAGTTTATAAAACGTTTCAACTCTCTGCAGCTCAAGAGAGTCGACTTCAATCCCTGGTTGGTAAGGATTTCAAGAAATACAAATTAAATAATGAAGAATCGTAATTTTTATATTAAAAAAAATATTCTACTATAGTTGTTTTAAAAATGTAGATTTCATAATTACATTTGTAAATAAACTAAATAATACGAATTTTTAGAATTTGATTCATCTAAACTTTTGTTTTTCAATTTTCCCTTTAAATTTATTTTTATTTTATATTCTCTTTTCACCAAATATTTTACTTTAAAAAAAATTCTCTAACATTGAAAAAATATAAATTTTTCAAAATAAAAAAAGGATAAACTAATTAAAACAAATTTTAAAATAAGATTGTAGGAAGAATAAAATTATCATCTATATAAAATAAATTAAAAATTCAAAAATAAAAATATCTGAATAGCGATATTATTCAAGCGCCGGCGTTCTTAAAAAGTTAGTATATTAACCGCAAATCAATTGAATCAGAAAATTGCGATACTTTAATTGGAATTTAACGAATAGAATTACAACCTTTAGAAAAATAATTATTCGTTATTATTCAAAATTGATAATTCTAATGAGTTTACGTTAATTGTGAAATTTTGCTAACAAGATTTATTATTCTTGTATATATCAACATTAACTTCGTAGTAGAAAATTGAATTATAAGAATTTGTCTATTGAGTTCGAGAGACGTCAATCGTTCATGATTGACGTGTATCAATGTCCTTGTCCCTCGAATTAGGTTCCCCGATGAATTAAGTACCGCATTGATGCGGTTCCCTACTCTTCATTCAAATGACTATTTCCTGCATCCCTATAGAACATAATGTCATAACAATCTCGTCTACTTTAAAACTCGCTTGTCAACTGATAACCAACTGATTAAGAAGTATAGAGCAAGACATAGAGGAACAAATGAAAATATTTCTCTCACTAGTTTAGGAACTAGTAATGGAGCAACAACATTCACGTTTAACATTAGATTGGGTAGCAGAATTAATTACCGCCGATGAACCTGATGTGGAAATTAAAAATCTCGACGAAGAACCAGGTTCAGGACGCGGTGATAATTATACATCGATGCTTTATCGTGTTCGCGCTAAAGGACGTAAACAATTAAAAAAAGGAGAATGGATACCATGGCAGAGGGCAATGATTTATAAAGTTCTACCACAATCAAAAGCACGACGTGAAGCATATAAAAGTGAATTGTTATTTCGTAATGAGGTGGTTTTTTATAAATACGTGTGGCCCACATTGAATAAACTTCAAGAAAATGGAAAAATTGTTTTTCAAGGAGTTGCCAAAGTCCTTGCGGCAAGACCCGATTTTATTGCCATGGAGGATCTTAAAGACAGGGGATTTCGAATGGCTGACAGAAGAACTGGTCTTCAACTTGAACGTCTCAAAATTGTCCTTAAAGCTCTAGCAGGATTCCATGCTCTCAGTCTAACACTCAAGGAACAAAGGCAAGTGATTTATTCTTATTTTAAAAAAAAAAAAAAAATCAATTTAAATTTAATTTATCAAATTTGAATTAAAGGCCAGACGTTTTTGAGAGATTATCAAATCCTGATGAGGGCCAAGGAATACAAGAAGTTCTTTTTCGTTTAGAAAATGAGGATTGGTATCGTCAATATTATCGAATGGCTACTAATAATGCAATAAGAATGGTATCAGATGGCTTGCCTGAAAATTTGGAACATCGACGAGAAGAAGCAATGGAGAAATTTCATGATTTTTTGAGTGAAGACACATTTTTCCGTACAATGTGTAAATTGACCGCCGCCCAAGGACCACTCTCAGTTTTTTGCCATGGCGATTGTTGGACCAATAATTTCCTCTTCCGCGACAGCAGTGTTGCTACAACTGAAACACAGGTCATTCAAAAAAAAAAAAATAATGTTATTTTATAATTACAAAAAAATTATCCAAAACAGAATTAATGAGAAAATATATATAAAAAATTTTAAGTTAATTTTGAATTTTTTTTTCTAATTTACTTTAATTCTGGAAAAATAAATAATATATTTTTCTCTTCTTTTAATGCAGGAAGTTTATTTAGTTGACTTTCAACAAGCACGAGTCGGTTCCCTTGCTCTCGATTTGGTAAATCTTTTATATTGTTGCTCAAGTAGCGAAATTAGAAAAAATCATAAAACTGAATTGTTACGACATTATCATAATAATTTAATGTCTGCATTGCATACATTAAATCCCCAAGGTCCAGAGAGAGATGAAACAGTCATGTGGGAACTGTAAGTAAAACTAGATTTTTATGAATTTTAAAAATCAATTTAAAATTCGTCTCAAAATCTGAAGTATTTTTTTGTGAAATCAGTAAGAAAAATTTTAAAATATTAACAAAATTAATTTAAAAAAAATTCCTGCCTGTAAATTTCCAGATTAAATGAAGAATTACGAAGATGTGGACGATTTGGATTAGGTTTAGCGGTGGATATTCTTCCAATTAGCACGTGTGAAAGTGATCAAGCTCCCGATTTATACGAAGGCGGAGAGGAAAATAAAGAAGTTCGTGTTGCTTTTGCTGTTCCACCGGGAGGTGCTGAGTGTTCACGATTAATGACCGAACTTGTCCTAGAATTAATAGATAATCATGCACTTTAGATGAAAAATAGAAAAATAATTTCCTAGAATCTTCCTTAATTTAATTAATGAAAAATATTTTGAAATTAGAAGAATATCAAAACAAAATTTTCAATTAACACAAATACCTATTTTATCTAATTATAGATATATAATATATATATAATGACAATCTATAGCTTATACACAATATACTGTATATTTTACATGATCGTAAGTCAATTACAATTACGACGAATTATGCTGTAAATAGAAATTTCAGAATACATTACGAAAAATCGAGACAGTAAAAAAAGTAATCCCTGAAGACGAAAAATTTCATTTCTTCGTGAATTATTTATAAATGCACTTTTTATATTAGATGCACTGTAAATTAAAAAAAAAAAAAAAAGTGGAAAAAATTTATCTAACGTTATTATCTTGAAGTGCTTTCTTCTACTTTCACACGACATTCAATTGAATTACAATTGCACGCAGTTCATTCTCATCAAAAACAAAAAAAAAAGATAATCCTATTCTTAAAATTTTATTATACAAATAAAACAAACTGCTTTCTTTTCTTTTTTGTTCAATGATAATTTTCATTCTTCTCAGGTAGAAAATTTGATATAAATGACAACTGTCAAAAATTCTTAATTCTAAATTAATATAGAAATCTGTTTTTTGCCTCTATTCCCCACTCATGTTGCCTATTGTTTTTTTTCTGTCAACAAGAAATTAAATCAAAATACCAATTAATTATTATTGGTCAAGTGTACAATTAAAAACAAAACAAAAAAATTAAAAAAAAAAAAAAAAAAACAATAATATGAAATCACATAATCGAAAGGAGACAAATAATCCTTTATGAAATGACTGAGTCTCACTTTGCGATTGTGAATTATTTTTTTTATACCCATATGTATTAGAATCAAAATACTTTCTAATAATCAAATACTTTCTAGTTATGAATAATAATTCGCTCACATATTTCATCAATCTAAGAATATAAATTAATAATTATTGTACCTCAAAAAAGTCATCTTTTATAAATTCGATACATTACGCTTGTTGTGGTGGTGTGTGAGGTGGTGGTTGTTGAGATGTTGCCTGTGGACTTGGCGGTTGTTGCTGTTGTTGTTGAATGAGATGTTGATTTTGTTGTTGTTGCTGTTGTTCCTGTGCTAACCTCTGATGTGCTTGTTGTCGTGCACGAAATTCTGCTGCTTTCAATTGTTCCAAATGAAATTGTTGTCTTTCGGTGATAAGCTGTTGTCTCTGATATTCAAGACCCTCACGTTCACGTTCCATTGTTGTTTCCAATTCCTCAAAGTGACGTAATTTAATTTCCAATTTTTTCATTTGTGTTTCAACAAGCAAAGCGACGAGAGATTTTATTTTTCTCTCCTCAACGGCGGCCAAATGTTTTGCTTTAACGGCAGCGGCTGCCAATGCTGCAGCTGCAGCCGATTGTAATTGTGCATCTTTTACGACCTGCTGAAACAAGAAATAGGTGATAATATCTCATTTTTTTTAGGGGACTTATCTTTTTTTCCTCGTTCTTTATATTTTAATTTCCTGTAATTTTGTAGGAGGGTGTCTTCAATTTATGTTCGAAATAAGTTATTTTTTTCAGAATACATTTTTTTTTTATTTGTAATTTAAAAAATACTTACTTTGTCTTTCTTTTCTTTTCCATCACTTTCCTCGCCATCGACTTTAGCTTTCGTTTCATCCTCGCTCTCTTTTGTATCAACGTCCATCTTTTCAGATTGATCCCTTTCATTTTCGGTGATTTCCTCCTTCTTTGGAGGTGTTGTTGATGGTTGTTCACTCTCGACAACTTCCTTCGTTTTTTCCGTTGCATCCTCTTTCTTTGCTTCCGGTGTTGGATGAGGCGATGTCGAGGGTGTTGCATTAGATTGTCCTGTCGAGGATGCGGAAGAATCCTCTGGTGGTTCCGGTGGTCCAGTACCAGCGATTCCTGATTGTGCTAGTCCTGCAGCTGGATCAAATTTACCTGAAAATAGGAATAAAAAATATATCAATTTTATTAAATAATTAAAAAAAAAAAAAGATTAAACATACCATCAGAATTGGCGCTTGCTTGAACGTTTCGTAAATGTTGATCCAAAAGAGCAGCTGGAACTTGATCCTTAATAGCCGCAAATTCCTCCATAGCGGCTTTTGCAGCACTAGCTGCAACTCGTGGATCGACAACGGACGCCAAGAAAGCGACAGTACTCATAACAGGATTGCCAGCCTTTGAGAATGGTATCGGTTGATAGCCCAATGGTCCAAGACCTTCAGGACCGCCCTCTTCCAAATATGGATCTTCAATAGGAAGCCGAAGAAAATGGAGAATACATTCATCCTGTGTTCTTGAACCAACGTGTTCGCACACTTTATTCCAATCATCCTTATGAAGTTCCAAACCCTCAAGAAGTAATAGTGTCTCTTGTTCTGTCCAATCGCGTGTTGCACTCGAGGCTTGTTTATTTTTCAGTACAGCTGGTTTTCGTGAATATTGATCAATCTTTAAACCGAAATTTGTCATTGAATTGGGCGTTGGTTTTTCATCACCGCCAGCGCCAAGTGGTGTACTTGGTTTTTTCTCAAGATCAAGAAGTGCCTTTGCTGCCGATGGTTGAGGTGTTTTCGGTGGATTTGGATTGACAGGCGCCAAACCCGAGGGTGTATCGGAGAGAACATGGAAGTGAGACGTTGGAGGTGGTCCCATTGGCGTTGGTCTCGATTCAGCGTCAACTTGATAATTAATTAAACCCCATTGTTCGAGAAAGGCATGAACGCGCATTATTGCGCAAACATCACCGGCTAAATTTCTCCGACATGCAGTTGACGTTATATATTCAGTGGGATTTAATCGATAAGTGTCAATCATGAAATTTCGATAGGCAAGATAAATCTCAGGTGTTTTGGATTTATTTTTTCCATTGAAAAATTCATAAAGAGCACGTTTCTCAATTGTATGAATTGAATTGTAATCGAACCATGCTGAATAACTGGGTACGACGATATGATGAGTTTGTTCAGTGACATTGTCTTCGGGCTCGTCGCTTTTACTTCCTTCGCCACGCTCTTTACTTGAACCTCTTTCCTCACGATCTTGAGCACTGTGGGCACTATTTTTGTCACCTTCGGAAGGCTCGTCTAAATCGGCCATATTTCCTGATTTTAGAGGTTGTAATTCATTGTCCTGTTTCTTATTTGTCGATGTATTACCACCTCCAGTTGAACCAGAGCCGGTGATTGATGAATTTGTCGCTGATGCTACAACTTCGACAATTCGTGGCTCCGCTGGTGGATCTTCCATACCTTGTGTTAAATCTTCTTCCTCGTCAACACCACCTCGGGTTTTTTTCATCGCTGCCGTTGCTGATGTTGCTCCTTGCATACCTGCAGGTCCTCGACCACTGCCAAAATAAATTATCATCAACAATACAGTTTTTTTTTAAACTTCGGCAATTATCTTTAAAATACTTTACCTTTTGCGCTTGCCAATTTTCGGTGGAGGAGAAGGTGATCGTTTACGTTTTGGTTTCTTTGTACCAGTTGGAGGATGAGAAGGTTGAGACATTAAATCTTCCACCGAGAGTCTGTATTTGTGGACTTTCTTTTGTCCATTGTCATCGACTTCATAATCTTCCTCATTCATCCATTCGTTGTATTGATCCAAATCTAACGCCCATGTTGCCGATACTTTATATATTGTTCTTTTATAAAAAAAAAATTAAATTAGTTCAGAGAAATAATAAAATTATTACATATTAAGAAAAAAAGACTCTACCTGGGATTTACTGATCCGAAATTTCCTTCAGGAAAATCCCATGGAAGATCTAGATTTGTCCAAGTGTCATAACTATCGGGAAAATAATACCAATGAAGAAGAACGGAACGATCACGTCGCATAAATGGCCGAGCATATTCTTCTTCAAGTGGATCGACGGAAGGATAAATTATATGAGTTGCATCCGCTTCATTTTCAACTACTGAACCCTGATGTCGTCGAACTATGTCTTTAACTTTTGTTGCTGTTGCTTTATCAACATCGGATCTCACAAATACATTAGGTAATATTAAACATCTATTTTGAACCAAGGCACGTTCTGCTGCCGTTAACATGTCTATCAGAAGATTCAATCGAGAGCCCGACTGGAAAAAAATTAATTCAATTACAATGTTTAAAAATTTATTCTCAATTTTTTAAATTCCAATTGTCAATAAAATTAAAATACCTTTCCAACTGGAAAATCAAAACGCCGCCATCCATTTTCTTGTTTAAATTTATAAGCAGTTCCTAATATATGGCATAAACCACCACCAGGTTTAAAGTCAAGGAAGCATTTCATCTGAAAATGTAATTGTTTTAATATTTATTTTCTAAAAAAAAAACACAAACAGTAAAATTATTAATTAGTTTCATTTTTCAAAATTATACTTACAGGAATTCTGGTCATCTGCGGTTTAGAAATATTTTTACCAAGATTATCTTCCTGGAACTGAAGTATTTGTACTACCAACGCAGCCAATGATTTATTAGTAGGAGGATCCGTTTGAACATACTGTAATTCAAAAATATTTTAAATAATAAATTCAAAATATCTGTACAAAAATATTAAAGGTAAAATTAAATACACAAATTATAACGCACGCGAATTCTATAGAAGTCAACATCATCAACACATACAGTGACATTTCAAGTACATTCATAGGTTATATATTATTTGAGTTATTTAAAGAACATATCAAATTGATCCACTTGTATAAAAAGTGAATACTCAATTCGAATAGAATTTTTTCTACTGAAAAATATATAAAAGCTTATTTCTAATTATTTGGAAAAGAATAAAAAGAGAATGGATAATATTGATGAAATAGACGCCGGGTTAAGGGGACTCACCTTCTTGCAATTTTTCAATAGCCACTGCTTTACTCCATCCAATAGTGTAAGGATCTCAGGACTCTCAAAAAACTTGAGATTCGGACTTCCATCCTTTTTTGGACCCAACGAGAGCATTGTGAATGGGAAATCTTTTTTAAAATCCGTTTAAATTACAAAGAAACAACGCCGTGAAAACCACAAACATCACAGCTCACTACCACATGCATACACAGTCCAACCAAACGGCCCGCCAATCACGCGTTCCATTAAGTCCTTTTTTCAACTCGCGATCCTCCGGGGAAAAAGATGGATTCCCACGTCACGCCCTTCAACGTTTTTCAGGACCTTTTTAAAGAAAAAAAAAATGTATTAAAATCAGTTTTCATAGTTTTGCATTTTACATTTGTTACCTAACAAAATTATTTGTCATTTAATAAAGAAAAAAAGATTTTTTTTTAAATTTCCAAAACAAGTATCAAATGGCGGGAAAATTTGAAATTATTTAAAATTTTTAGGTTATACTGACAATAAGTATAATATGTGAAAACTTGTAAAGAAAACTTTGTATTTTCACGGTATCTTAATTGATGGATATAGATGAAATACTAAACACTGGGAAAAAGAAAAAAATAAATAAAAATAATTTGAAATCTCGGAGAATGAGACGGAAATATGATGCAAGATGGCCACCGGATGTAGACGTCATCCGTGCCACTGCCAACTAACGAGCTCGTTACGAGCTGCGCTTTTCAACGGGGAAAAGTGACTTTTCTCCGTATCATCAGATCTTCGTTAAATTTTGCACGCTAAGTACGTCATTCAGTGAAGCGTAATTTTTATTTACAATTGTGTGCAGTGTCAAATTTTTTATCCATCTTGTAAAACTAGTTTCCCTTCTGGTGCTAGTGCCCCAGGTACTGTTATTTTAAGAGCACCTGATTTCTCCTCTCGATAAAAGTTTTCTTTTTTTAATAATAAAAATAAAATATTTATATTTTTCATTCTATAACAATAATAATATGATTTATTATTGAAAATCATAAGAGTTGTGTATTTCATCTCAAAAGTGCAACGTACTTTGACGTACGTCGACACATGTGTACCTTGTTCCCTCGTCAAGGCTATATCATACATCATAAAATTAGTTTTCATTGTTTGTTTAAATCACATAAACTTGTAGACAGTTTCCGATTATATATACCACTATAATTTACTGATTTAATTATTTGCAGAGTCATCTTAAAGTAGCCGTAAGCTCGTCAAATAAAAATTCACGAATATGTTTATTTGGGATTGGTTCACTGGAGTCTTGGGTTATCTTGGTAAGTTTTATTTTTTTAAATTGTATTTTAATTTAAATTTTTTTTGTTTTTACTTAAAGGTCTTCTTTATTTATTTTATTAGTCGTTTTTTTTCTCAATGTTGCGAGAAAATACATTAGTTAAAATATAGATTTTTATTTAAATTCAAAATTCTTTTCTTTTATGTTTCTCTGATGATAAACTCGAGGTTTACCGATATATGTGTGTCGGGGAAAATTTCTCATTCTCGGTTTACCCTATTCGGGTCGTCATTCATTGATAAATGCAGCAGTCGAAGAATATCTTCTCGATCCGATTGAGATTCCATGTGAAAGTAAGTCAATAATGTCTGGAGCTTTTGCATGATATTTGTTGTTTTTTATTTCAGGATTATGGAAGAAAAGTGGCAAACTTTTGTTTCTTGGCCTGGATAATGCAGGCAAAACAACACTACTTCACATGCTCAAAGACGACCGATTAGCTCAACATGTACCTACATTGCACCCAAGTAACTAACTTATAATTAACATTCTATTAAATTTTTACTTTTAATTTCTGAAAGGACGTTGATTTTACCAATTTGGAACAATATTCTCGAGTCCAAATTTATTATTTGTTTTTTAACTTTATTGTGATAAGAAAAATTTAATAAATTAACGGTACCAAATGATATTAAAAATAAATCGTGTTATTTAAAAAGAAGTTACTTTATATTAACAAAATATTTCTTTGTGTTTAAATGACTAGAAGTTTTATTATTTGTACGTTAACTATATCTTAAGTGTTTTCTAACTGCGTAAATTCATTTGTAATTTGTAAGATTTTTAATTTAAAAATAGAAACCTTCAATAATTATACGATATGACGCCTGTTTACATTGAATAGAGAGTAGATTAACGTGACTTGCAAAATAATGATTCTACATTTTTAATAAGCTTTGAAAAACATAAGTTTTCATTTTAATTTTAACTTTAAAATTTTCTATGTGAGAAACGTCGATTTTATCTTTTAGATAAATTATGTTATCTTTTTCAAATTAAAGTCATCATAAGTATATTAATATGTTGATTCTGTGTTTTAGCCTCGGAAGAGCTGTCGATCGGCAATATGAGGTTCACAACATTTGACCTCGGTGGTCACACTCAAGGTATGTATTTAATATTAATTTGGAAAAAAAATAATACTCACAAAAAAAAAAAAATTCTTGATCTAAATTTGGAAAATTAATTTCACAGCTCGTAGAGTTTGGAAAGATTATTTCCCAGCTGTAGACGCAATTGTTTTTCTTGTCGACGCTAGCGATAGGAAACGATTGACAGAATCGAGAAATGAATTGGATGCGCTAATGACTGATGAACAGCTTAGTATTTGTCCGTTGCTAGTTTTGGGTAACAAGATTGACAAACCCGGTGCAGCATCCGAAGACGAACTTAGAACTTTCTTTAATCTTTATGGGCAAACGACTGGAAAAGTAATAATTTAACATTTTTTTTTCAATTAATTATTAATCATTCTCTCTAATTTTGAAAATTGGTGAAAATTACGATAAAAAAAAAGTATTATACCCAAATAATTGTTAATTAAAACACTTTCTTCTTTTCTTCAGGGCAAGGTTGCACGTAACGATATTCCTGGTCGTCCTTTAGAACTTTTCATGTGCTCCGTTCTCAAAAGGCAAGGATACGGTGAAGGTTTTCGCTGGTTAGCGCAGTACATCGACTGAACAAAAAGAAATGAAAAAAAAAACCTAATAACAGTTGAAACACTCCATTTTTTCCAGTAATTTATTACTTTCCCACTATTTGAGCTCTTAATTCCTTCGGCATTTAGCAGTGCTAATGCCACGTGGACATTTTTTTGCTTAACAAAACAAAGCAAAATATTACATCTCAAAAGGCAAAAAAAAAAAATAAATAAGTAGGGAAAGTACAATCTTACGACAGAATTATAACCGAATGACGGCTTTGTGACCATTTGAATTAGTGAATTTATGACCTATTTAAATTTAACTATTAATTATCCGGTTGAACTATGCGTACGTAAAAATATTAACGTCGCATAGAAATACCACCTAGAATTGTTTTCCTTTTTGTTTTTTCTTAATGTTTATTTAACAAATTTCTCAACGTTTCAGAGCTCGTCTAATTAAAAAAAAAGTGCTGTGAATGTTGACGATATTTAAAGAAAACGAAACGAACATTTTGATAAATAAAATACTATTAAAAAAAAAAAGAAGTCCAACATCCTTGGCGATTTTTTGGTTTCTTTTTTCTCTCATATAAATGTTAATCGCGATTTAACTGCCGTTTTTTCAAAAACAACTTTCTACTTTTGTCAGGATTTGATTATAAGTCCCTTTTTAGTTAATATCTGTTTTGCTCGAGTTTTTTTTTCAAATTCATTTATGCGGTGAATGACGTTTTCATTATTGTACAGAAATAGTTTTGCTGATGTTTGATTTAGGTTTCTAAAAAAAAAAAAACAACAACAACAAACGAGTTCGATGCACATACAGAATTGTAAATACCAAACGTAATTTCTTGATTCATTTTACGAAAAATGCAATCTTAAAAAAAAAAAACGCCTTTCTTTAAACTGGAATCAAGTCAAATCTATGTTAATTTTTATTTATTTTGTTGTAACGTCTTTTTCGTAAGGTGTGCCAGAGATAAGCGAATGAGTCAAGAATGTTTGTTATAAATAATTGGTTTTTAATAAAAAAAAAAAAAAATGTTCAGAATTTTATAAAATTTGCTTTTTATCAACAGTATTTAAAAAAATATCGTTCTTTTTATTTAAGCTTACCCCGGTGGTGTTATAACTTTGAAAGTGTCAATTCAAGATTATCGGAAAGTGGAGCGAAACGTTGATTTACATATTCGTCTGTGACTTCATTTATCGACTTTGGATTCCACATAGGTTTTTGATCTTTGTCAACTAACAGGGCTCGAACACCTGTAATTAATTTTTTGCAAAATTTTAAAAATAATTAAATTTATTTTCTAATTAATTACCAACCTTCATAAAAGTCGCCTTCCTTCGATAGACAGGCGCAAGCTAATCTGTACTCCATTTTCAATGATTCGGATAAATCAAAATTAGCTCCATTATCTAAAGCCTTTTTTGTAACTTTCAATGAAGTTGGTGAGACTTTTTGCAAAATTTCTATCACTGAATTAGCCCACTGAGAATTTTCCGCATGTAGCCTAAAGATTTAATTTTTTTTTTCGTTTTAATCTTTTTTTTTTTTTTTTTAAATATTTTTGTCAATTTTTTACTTACTTTTCAATAATTTCTTCGATGGTTTTCGCTGAAAAACATCGATTAATTTCTTTCATGTGAGATTCTAGGCTAAATTCTTGATTTAAATTTTTCGCTTGATAATTATTTAGAATCTCCTCAACGTTTACATTTTTGGGACTTAATAAAGTTTCAGTTAATTCGTCGAGTTGACTTTTTGGAACAAAATGTGTTGCAAGACCAGCCAAATACACGTCAATGCCTTGAAAAAATTTAATTAAAATTAAATAATAATTTTTTGTATAATTAATAAAATAAATTATTAAATTACCCTTTAATCTATGTCCCGTGAGTCCCAAATAGAATCCAAGTTTCCCCTTCAATCGTGGCAAGAAATATGAACCACCAATATCGGGAAATAAACCAATTCCAGTTTCTGGCATTGCAAATAAAGTATTGTCTGTTGCTATTCTATATTTTCCATGAATAGATAAACCAACACCTCCACCCATTGTGATACCATTAAGTAAAGCGATATATGGTTTTTTAAAAGTCCCGATAAGATGATTCAATCTTAGTAAATAAAAAAATTTTTAACATAATGAGGTAAAATTAATTAATAAATTATTAAAATTATTATTATTAATTAATTATTAAAATTATATTTTCAAACTTCTTACGTGTATTCTCGTCTGAAGAATTCCTGTCCAAATTTGTGACCATCTTTATCGTCTCTTAAAGGTACAACTAAAGATTTAATATCTCCTCCAGCACAAAAAGCTTTCTCACCCGCTCCTTTAATAATAACAAGACTTTTTGAAGATTCCCATTGTTTAAGAACTGGATAGATTTTATTAATCATCGAAAGATTTAAAGCATTAAGAGCTTTTGGTCTATTTAAAATTATAAGACCCTTATCGCCAACCTACAGAAAATATTATTAAATTAGTAAATTTTATAAAACCAATCTTGATTTATTATAATTTATAATTTAGAAAACAAAAAATAATTATACTTACATCTTGAAGTATTACATTATTTTCTTCTACAGACATTGTATCATCCGTTAAGCTTTTTTTCAGTGGTACTAAAATACATAATATTTTTAAATTTTTATTTCATATGCATGCATATTTGATCGAGCATTAGAAACCTGATTTGAATAGAATTACAATTTTTTGTTAAATGAAATATGCAAAATAGTGTTATTGAATTTTAAAAACAAAAGCGATTGTAGTGGAAAGAACACAAAAAAATATTAATAATTCAAAAAATTACATTTTCAACTTTAGGGGTAAGTGGAAAAATTACTCTTTTAAATTATTATTATTTAAAAATTATTAATATATAAAATAGTCAATTAAAAAATTTTTTTTACCTGTTCCTAAATGTAAGCATTTAATTGAATTTGTGATCCGAGTTGTTGACACGAAATACATGCATGTTACTTTCGTTGAGATACTTTTCAACTACGTAAAAAAAAAAAATTCCTTTGTATTAATAATTAATGGAAAAAAACAATTGTTTAAACACGTAGATTATTACAATACATAATATATTTTCTAAAGTATCTACTTCCTATTTCAAAGTAAGAATAAAATTAAATTTTAATAAAATATTAAACTATTATTATTACTAATATTAAAAAAATATTTTTTGCAAAACTGAAAAAATCATTTAAAATTTTCATATAATTACCATTTTAAAGAATTTCCAGTTAAGTCTTTGTAAAATTGAAATCACTTCGTTTGAAAAGTAACAGACCAAAGGGTGATTTTAATAAAGGAGATCACACATACACACTCAATAAACAATTATTAATTACACACAAATAAAAAAAAAACAACAACGAAAAAGTTTACAAACACTTTAGAGGTTAGGAAACGAAAACTAAAAATTTTTGTCGTTTTTATGCAATAATTATCTCATTTTTGGTCATTCGTTGGAGAGATAACACTTGAGTGTTACAAAAGAAGTTGAAATTAAATACTTTAGAAAAACTCATTAATCAAATCACCTGATTACGAAACATTAAAGTGGACCTCAATCCATAAAAAGAAAGTATGTCTAAAGTAAAGAATTTCGCGCCTAAATTTTTTGAAACTTTCTTTTTAAATATTGTTCATATATTTTGAATTGTGATTGGTGGACTGTGGTAAATTGTTCTGTGATTGGCTAACAGTCTCTGTGAACCGGAACTTGTTCATGAAAAACTGCCTTTACATATTTAGATACCGGAAGTGTAACATATATGAATAAACAGTGACAATGTGTATGTGTGGGTGTCATTTTTTATGTTGGGAAATCCATTGTTGACAATTATTCATTTTTGAAGTTTTTCATTACTAAATTATTTTGAATATCAGGAATTTACGACTCAGTTATTATTATAAATGTAAAAATCGTTGCAATAACTTATTGAGAGAAATGACAAACAACCCAATTAAACAATCAATGCCTGTTTTGATGTATTACTCATATTTTGAAATTACTAGATGATAAACAAAAAAATATGCAATGTATCAAATTTTTATCAGCGGTTATCACTTAGCTGAAGTTCCGCGTGGAAAGCCGTATTACGTTTATTCAGTTGAAATGGTTCATTCAATCAACGGAACACGACATTTCGTCGAAAAGAGATACAGTGAATTTAATGCCTTACATCGTTTGGTAAAATGCATTTTTATCTTTTTAATATTACATATTTTTTATATTATCAAATGATTTTTCAATTTAAAATCAAATTCCAAAAATATTGTTTCAATTTTTTCGATATTAGAGTTTAATTCTAATTTTATTAGTTTTTTTTTTTAATTTTACAGTTGAAAAAAGAAAGCGAAACTGCGCCTTTTCCTCCAAAACGAGTTCGAAATTCGAATCCAAAAGTCCTTGAACATCGACGAGCAGCTTTAGAGCAATATATGCAAAAAATGTTAAAGCTTTCTAGTACAAAGCATCAAGTATTAAATTTTTTAGGCGTCGATAATCAACCTCTTAGATTGAATAACACAAGGTATTTATTTTAAAACTATTTTCCTTATGCTTTAATTTAATTGTATAAAAGTGTCTTTATTTTTTTTTTTTTAAATAGAAACAAAATTCTTGGAATAAGTAAATATTAATTTTTAACATTCAATATGTAAATTTCAGAATACAAACACTTACTCACCAGCCAATTTTTCATTATAATTATGATCCATACGTTCAGGCGAACATATCGTCCTCACTTCCAGACACAGTTACCAATGGTGTTTTGCTTGGAATCTATGGATTTAGAAATTCTGAATGATTACCGAAAATACCTACGAAAGAAAACAAGAACAATCAGGAGATTAATTAGCTATATTAGCTAATTTTTAGAACAAAGATTTGCTACCTAAGTATTATTTTTTATCCATTAATTTTATTAACTTGACATTATTACAAAAAAAAAAAAAATCACAAATAATTTTATTATAGAGCGTCTATATTTTTTAAAGAAATGAATTATTTATATTATTAAAAAAAAAATTTAAATACATTTAAATTTATTTTTGTTATTTGAAAAAAAACCTATATATAATTTTTAAAATAAAATATTTAAAAAAAGAAACGTTTACAATCCAAAGATATAATTTCACATGCATCTAATTATTTGGAAAAAAAAACTTTGCAATAAGAAAAAAAAAAAAAAATGTAAAAATAATTAACAGTTTGAGGGTAAATAAATTTGTCACTGTTAATGAATATTTAAATACAGAACTTTCGTTTTTATTCTGCCATACCCTCTGCTATCGTTACATTACATAAAACGATTAAACACTATCCTATCACTTGAAAGAATTATTATAATATTGCAAGGTTTTTTTTTTTTTGTCGAACCGTCGATCTTACTGAACGACGTGTCCATTATATAGAAAATATGTCTTATTTATTTACAATATGTTATCCTCATTATTTCCACTTGAAAAAGGAATTATTCTTATTTTTTTTTTCTTGGATATATGTTATGTATTATTTTCAGATAAGTATTCATCGATACGCTGTACAGTCATATCCACTGAGTATTTAGATTTTTTTTTTCGACAGATAAAACCGACGGGACACTACGTTATAAGCCGTAAAAGAAATCGATATTATTTTTTTTTCTTTCAATTTTCATTCTCACTCTGATATATTCAATCGCATCGCGAATGTCGCTTTTCGTTTTGGTACTCGCGACAAACAACGATTACGAAATTTTTCTTTTTTTTTTTTTTTTTACTCATCTTTTGTGCATTTCTCCATCAAACTCTCTCTCTCTCTTTCACACATACACATATATACTCAATTTATATTTATATATATAATATTATATTTTGATAATATTTTTATATAAATATAAATTACTATCTTAATTGATATAGTAGTACCAATACTAATGCGCTTCATCAACAAATACATCATCGTTTATTACATGTCACTATATAATTTTTTTTTTTATGTATCATTCATATAATACATTAATTTCTAAAAAAAGAACCATTCATTTCTGTTATTATTAGGTATTTACAGAGCAGTTTTTTTTTCTTTTTTTTGAAAAATTGTGAACCGTAAGCTGTTGATCTCGTAAAAACTCACAATCAAAATCAAAATACTCGTTTTTCTTTTTGATTTATTATATAATTTTAACTTATTTTCCAAGAGAAGTTAAAAAAAAAAATTTTTTTTTGTAATTTATACAAATTAGGGATTAATTTTTCATAATTCTTTAATAATTATAAAATGATTTATCTGCGTTAATTACCAATAGTTTTTGACTGAGAAAAATTTAATTTTTAAAATAATCTTTTCGAATTTGTTTATAATATTAATTATTAAAAAAATAATTTCAAATTTTTCACATTAACTTTTGGCAGTGAAAATCGCAGATAAATTATCAAGAACGAAAGAGTAATTTTGTTTTTGATTGGTGACACTTGCTATTTCGTTCATTTATCAATTTTTTTTTCTTTCGTCATTCTATAGTAATTTGTGCTAAACGACAATACCTTGGCCAATACGTATCAATTCGCAGTTTATCGGTCTGCAATTTTTTTTGTTTTTTTCTATATATTATGAATTCATTTCGAATCATCGCTTGCTACGGTACAACGTATAGCGCTTCAAATACTGGTAAAGTGATTTTTTTTTGTTTTTTTTTCTTTTTTTAAGTGACAAATCTTGAACCTTAACAAATGTACGTTTTACAAAAAATCTTAAGTTATCCTTAACAGCATTTAAGCAGCTTAAGTACCTGAATCTAACTTTGGAAAACTTTGTTGCTGTCTTACGATAAAATTTTTTTATTTTTATTTAATGCGTTTACAAGTTTTTTTTTTCATGTTCTTATTTATATAAATGCTGTTGGTACGACTAAGGAACGGCAAAAGGCCGCACTATCACCGACAAATAAAAATTTTCTTCTTGTTATTACATCATATTTTTTCCTCTTCTTTTTCATTTTCTCACTTTTCAAATATGATTTTTTTTTAAGTCTTTGAAGTCATTCAAAAATACGCGTTCATTTGATGCAAACGTTTTTTTGCTTGAAAATGTACACATAGACAAGTTTTTTTCTTCATCTTAATTTCATTATTTAATGTACAGGAAGATAGTTGTCGCTCTTATATTTTAGAAATAGCAAAAATCTCGCATTTTTTTTTACAACAACATTTAAACGCAAAACGAGAGAAATGGAATTTGCAAATAGACGGTGAAACTAACAAAAGATTATAATCTATACAAAAAAAATAAAATAAAAGAATTGTATCAAAAATTAGAATAACTTAACGAAAATTTTTTATTTATATTTTTATAAATAAATTTTAATATTTATAAAATCAAGTTACTCACTTCTTGGACAATTCTTCTTTTTTACGACAAATATTAACATGAAAAAAAGTACAAATTTTTTTTTTTTTTTTTTTTAGAAAGGTAAAGAATATAAAATCATTTTTGCAATGAAATGAAATATTAAATACACAATTTATTTAACTCGAGTATTCTCTTTTTTTAAATATATATAATGAAATCGTTTAACATTTCGTGTTATGATGTTTAAATCTATACGTAAATCTAACTGAAGTACATTCAAAAAAACAGTTTACAAATTTTTTTTTCTTTTTTTTTTATAGGAAAAATCTTTGATTTCAACAAAAACAAATATTTACACTATAAAACTTATACAAATACCAATATATTGTAAATAGACTAACTATAATAATATATATATATATATATTATTTATATATTAAATTTCGAACATTGCAAGTTTCACCGTCTTTGTTTTTCACAAGTGGAAACGGTAATTAAATGATTAACTGCAGGCATTCATACATCACAAGGGCACGTGGAAATATGATTATAAACATGACGTTTATTATTGTTGTAGTTATTGTTTTTTTTTTTCTTTAAATCAGACAAAGCATTTGTACTAAAGTGCAGCGATGTAATATATATTTTTTTTAACGAGTTTATCTATGCAGTCTACAATAATGTACAAGTATGAAATTTTTATACATGCACTGTGACAAGGTACAATCAGGCCAGAAAAGACAAGTGATCCGACTCATTAACTTGCAATTATTATTATTATTATTATTATTATTAAATCATTAATGAATAAATTAAATAATACAACTTTAATTAGAAAACTACAGTGTAAGTATCGTTTGCTACATCCGCATTCGTTCTTATGAACGAAAATTAAATGGCACGGAAAATAAAGATCACAAAGAAATTTCTTAAGATTTCCGTCTTCTTTTTTTTTTTTTTTTTTTTTTTTTTAAATAGAAAAATAAAAAAAGAACCAACGCGAGGCCTTTGCAAAGTGGAAAAAATTAAGAAACAAAAATATACATATATCCTTTATTATAAAGGAATTCTACGCTCTGTATAAGAAAAAATGTTTTCGCGATATAGTTCACGAATTTTTTTTTCTCTTTAAATTTGTCACGCTGTGAAAATATTTACAGGAAAAAAAGAAATATTAAAACAAAAAGAGAACAAATAATCCCTGAGGGTATTTACTAATGTCAAAACTGTAGTTTAAAAATTAAATTCTACATTGTTTTAATAAATCTAATTCTTACTGAAATTTTTTTTTTTTTTTAAATGGTAATTTTTATTTTTAATAATTCGAAATGTTTTATTTATTTAAATACTTCTATTTTTGTTAAATAAAAAGAAATGACGATGACTTGAAAAAAAAATAAATTAAATTACAAAAATAAACAGAAAAAATAAACACTAACTAGAGAACACAAGAAAATTTAATAAACCGATGGTGATGGTCGTTGAAAACGGAATGTGTACGAAACATTTGGTCTAATCATTTGGCCCGATTACTCCGTCGCAAATTTTTATATTTGTGCATCACGTGATGGATGCTGCAAGTTATAGAGATACAAATCTGAATTCACTTTTTTTTCCTTTTTTTAAAAAAAAAAAAATCTACACAAATCGATTATTTCACCTCTGATTTATATTTGTTTCATGACTCTCTATTTCACCCCCACGAGCCTCTCTCTCAAGCCTTTGACTAGATTGCATTTCTAAAGTTTCTTCATTAGTTGCTTTCTTTTTTTTTTATACCCTAAATCTGCCATTCATAATGATTCACACTATCACTAGAATTGTATTAACACCTAAAAGTAAAAGGATGACCTACTCTTATCAAGAATTCTAATAAATTGTTTATCTCACACGGAGATAATAATATTCAACGTTATTTCTATATATTCAAAAAGGAGAATTTCATCCTTTTTTTTAAAGAACTTCTCCAGAAGCTTTCTTGAAAAAAAAAATTATGTACACCAGCATCATATTTGATATTATCATAATTAACTGAAATCAGAATTTTTTTTTAAATTACAATTTTTTAATTATAATTTTAAATTCTGATTTTAGTTTTTTTTAAGGGGTTAAATCATTGCTTTTCCCAAAAAAGAACCGGTGAATATTTTTTTTTTTTTTTTTACACATTAAAATACAAATGATCGTAGAATATATTAGAGTATAATTGCTAGGACTACCTTTTCTTTCCCAATTGTTTCGATGATGAAAGCCTCTTTTTCAATTTATGATCGAGCTTGACGGGTTTTTTCTTTGGCCTCTCGGGTGATCCATTACAACAGGCGCAGCCTTTTTTCACATGACCACGAAGACTTGATCGTCTTGCTCGACAATCCGGCTCAACTGATGTATTATGACTTGTCTCGTCATCTGATGCTTCTGATGTTTTATCACTGGTGACAACAACATTTGTCTCTGATATTGAATCACTTTTAAATCTTTTGGCGAGCATATGTTTTGGATCGGCACGATTTAAAACAACTCTTGCTGTCACATGTAATTTGTCCTTGGCTTTTAAATAAGTACAATGATCGCTGGTAATTTTAACATTACTTGTTGTACGTAACATTGAATCATCTAAACCATTTGTCATTAGAGTATTATCCTCCGGTTGACTGTTGAGTGAATCACTGATACTTGAGTCATCATCCTCGCTACTTGATCTTGTTCTCTCTGACATTGGACTCTCCCATGATAAATAACCAGTTTTTGAACCGGCAATTTTTGTGGTTACACGTTTTTTGTTTGAATAAGTGTATTTGTGCGTGGATAAAAGTGGACCGGCAATTGGCGAAAGTGGCGATGTAATTGTCACATCGGCGGTGTTTGCGCCCAAAAGAGTGAGACTCTCGTCGCCTGAACTTGTGATTGAAGTATTATTGGTATTTACTTCAGCTGCAGGAAGCGATTGTGTGTCAATGTCAATGTCGAGTTTTATATTTGACGGTGTACTTGACAAACTACTTGGTGTGCCTTCTTTAGATCCGCGTCTTGAATTTAATTTAACCCTGGAAGTTGTATTATCTTTGGAAGAGTCATTTTCAGTCGAGGGAATATTTCCAGGCGATAGTCTTGATAAATCTGAATTACTGTTTGAAGCGTCGTCTTGACTGAGATTGTCGAGACTTAGTCTCATGTGTTTCACTGGACTTATCACGTGTAATTCGTCAACTTTTTCTCGTTTTGCTCTTTTGACAGTGTCCTTCAATGTTCTTGTTCGTTGAACAACATTTCTTCTTCGTTCATTTGCTTTAAGATCGGCAATTGGACTTGCGTCTCTACTACCACTCGATGAGTCGAGAGATCGAAAATAAGAGGAGCAATAGGGTTTAATGCCAAGTGATTGACTGCATGTTGCGTCTTGTGAGGAATGATCAAAAGAAGGTGAATGATTATTATCAAAAAGTAAATCAGCCTCGGGAAATAGATCACTTGTACTTGGTTCATCAACTCCAAGATCTTCGCATTCTTCTGATAAACTTTTTTGTAATTTTAATTCACGTTCTAGAGCCGCATTTTTACGTTCTGCACGCTGTTGTAATAATTCTCTTTGACTTGGATGTGATTTCGCGAGACTATTTTTATTCGAATACTGTTGATAGGTTTCAAGAGAATGATTGATAAAATATTTTTTTGCATTTGGTTGAAAAACATTGCCACTTGATAATTCGATGGTTTGATTTTTGTTGATTATTTGTAATACATTTTCTGTACTCTCTGAGTCTCTTGATGAAATTTTATATGGTTCGATGTTTAAAGAGTTTGTTGATGTCGGAACATACCTCCAGGGTGTATCGGGTGATGGTTTTCTATCTGGTTCCCATGCTTCTTGTAACCTTGCATTTCCACAGAGAATTCCATTTCCAATTTTTCCAGATGAATCAATTGAATCAATTGATTGTCTAATTGGTGATTGTTGACTGTCGGAACTGCTTGGGCCACCGGTTATAAGAAATTGCGATGTATTGTCCAAATTGCTCACTTGTTTGCTCACAGAAGTCATTGTTGTTGTACCCGGTTCTAAAAAAAGAGAAATTAATTAATTTTTCATTCATGTTTTCATTAAAAAAAAAAAAAAAAAACACGTGCTACGAATTAAATGTACATGAAAAAAATGAATTAAACAATGATTAAAGCAGGCTGTAAATATAAAAATTAATTTGAAAAATAAAAATAGCTACGCAAATGGCACATAAATTCCATGAATCCTAAAAAAGCAAGAAACTGAAGATTTCTTTATCTTTTTTTTTAATATTATTAATAATATATTACATTATTAATATATTAATTGCAAACACTTCAGTTTCTCTGAGGAAGAAAACAATTCCACCAATTTTGATCGCCATCTAAAAAACAGAAAATTTTTTCTAAAAAAAATCAATCTACACATAAAATTTCTCTCCTAAGTGAATCGTGCAAAAAAAAAAATCAACTAATCGCGTAAAAAAATATATAAGCCACAATCAAGCTAATAAAAGAAATATTTTCTTTTCAAAAAAAAAAAGTAACGCAAAAATGCAGTCCATCTAAAGCGATTTTCCTCCTGTCATCTCTTACCGAGTTTAATATTAGTTTGTAGCGGTGTTGTAATTGCAGACGAAACTGTATTATTTCCAGCAATTAAAATCCTTGGTATATTCTCAGAAAGGCCAACAGCTGTTGTTGTCGACGTTGTCGTTGAATCATCAAGTTTTCTCTTAACAGTTTTAGGTGAAATAATTTTATCACTAGCGGAAATTTCTGTTGATATTTCTTTTGTCTCACGTTGTTGATTATTACTATTATTAATCACTGAAACTTCTGTGGGTGTTGCATAAGCCAATGCAATTCTTGCATTTTGTAACGAGACTGTTTTACTGTCAATTGAATTATTTGCATTATCATGAGTTGTTTTTTTTTCAATTGTATTTTGTGGTGTACTCGACGCTAAACAAACAACACTTTCAGTTTTTATTTCACCTGGTGTTGATAATTTGGCAATTGTTGAATTAAAAAATCTCGCTCCTTGTAATGTTAAATTTGGATTACTTGTTATTACACCACAAATATTATCGCTCACATCTGATAAATTACGTTGAATTAAACCAATTGTTTTATTAACTAAAATTGCATTTGTACCTGTTGTTGTTGTTGTTTCTTTTGCAATTATTTCGTTATTTTTCTCATCAAATTGAGCATTATTTTGTGGAATGACAATTGTTGCACTTTGTTGATTTGTTAATGTTTGTAGAGTTGGAATTTTTACTTGTTTAACTTGTGTTGGTTGAGAGGAAATAATTTTGCCCTGATTGAGAAAGCTTTGTAGAACGAGAGCATTTGAAACACCGGTTGTTCCGGTTGTACGAACGGTCGCTGGTACTGTTGCTAATAATTTAGAACCTCCCGAGACAATTGTAAATTGTTGTGCACCTTTCATTAAATTCATTGGTAAAATTTGGTAATTACCTGACATAAGTACAGCTGTACTACCCATCTTGCCGGTGACTGATGCCAATGCTTCGGAAACGCTCACCGAACCGGATTCTTGAACAATGACAGCACGTTGACCACCACTTGCATTTGGTTCAGTGAAGATTAAATTACGTCTTTTTATATTGTTGAGTTGTTCAACGCCATCATTTGAATCGTTGGTACGATTATCAGTGGCGTCATTTGCATTTGATGCAGTTGATGGTTCATCGGGTGTTGTAAATCCAGCGGGACTGTCTTGAACTTGTGCAATACCACTTGATGAATCTTCACTGCCCATTGTACGGCCAAGATCCTCAGCGCTTGGACTCAATTCAGATGATTGTTGTCCTGATGATTTTGATTTACCTGAACTTGATTTTTTTCGTTTTGACGATTGACTAGGATTTGTGGGTGGATTTGAACGTCGACGTGGCGCTGGTTTATTATTGAGATCAGGTGAATTTCTCAATTGTTCGGCATATTGTGTGAGAATTGCATAGATTCTTTGCGCTGTTTTTTCATCCTCTTGGGGTTTTTGTTGGGGCTTTGGTATTGGCGAGGCTTTTGCCGTGTTTGTTGCGCTTGTTTTTACTGTTTTGGGTGTTGATTTTTTTGATGATTTTGGCGATGCAGTGGGCGGTGTTTTGCCTGATGATTGAATTGGCGCTGGTGCTGGTGTAACACAGGGGCTTGAGGAACTTTGTGAAGTGACACTGAGAGCGGGCGAGGCTGCCGGTTGACAGTAACTTGTCACAACAACAACGGGAGTGGAATTTGTCACTTTTGGAGGTGTTGAGGTTTGATTCACATAGGCTAGAGAGACCTTTTGCGAGAATGAATCGGGAAATGTGACGGTGTTGCCATTACTGAATTTCGAGCTGTTTGGAGTTTGGGAAGGTATGAGGAGTTGTTGAGTTAGAGTACTGACGGGTTTTGTTGGTGTTAGTTGGGGACTTGGAGCGGTTTGAGTTTGAGTTTGAACAGTGGTGGTGGTTGTATTTTGATTTTGAGGTTGGATTGTACTCCGCTCTTTCACTTGCTCGAGGACACTTTCGAATTCGCGTAGTTGCTCCAATGTGGTTGAGCTGACTTGATTTGGAACGTCGATTGGTGTATTGATGAGCGTTGTCTCAGGCCTAACGGTTGGTTGCGGCATTCTCGGTGTTGCGAGAACAGCTTGAATTGTTCCAATATTTTGTTGTCGGATCGGTGCCCTGATGATGTTGAGCTTTACCACTGGCGTACGATTGCCGGTTAATGAATTGGCGGGCGTGATCGTGGGTATGATATTGAGCTGACTTGGATTTGTAGTGGATATGGTTACGGGTATTTTGTGCGTGTAAATTACACCGGAAGAAGCGTTATGCATATTTTGGACAAGTTGTGTGAGAGTTTGAGTCACTGTGGGAGTTGTTGTGTTTGTGCTACTGGCTGTTGAACTTTGAACGATATTCAATATTTGTCGGCCAGAGGAAAGTTGAAGATTTTGAACGCCGGCGATTGATTGAATGCTTAAACTGGCGGTGTTTGCTTGGGTACTTGGAACTGATGTTTGAACGGCTTTTGATAGATTGCTGGCTTTTTGAATGGTCGTTGGTTGCGTGAGGGTTTCGGTTGTGGAAGATGCGGCAACTGTGGTGGTATCTGTGGATAGGGTGTAAATTGTTTTGCCAAAGGCGTGTTGAAATTTTGGCAAACCAGTATTGTGTCCAGCTTGAGATGTTGTCTTGATTGGCGCAAGTCTGTCGAAGGTATTTCGATTGACAACATTTCTTGAGAAGCCAACTGTTCCGTCGTCGAGATTTTGCAGTGCAAGGACACTTCTTTGATTTGTGAGAATATTTGGATTAACGGAGGCAAGCTGATAGGTACCGTCGGGTTTGCAAACAATTTGTATTTGCTCAGAGCCAATGGGAACGGTTGTGGCTGTTGTTGTTGAGGGTGAAGGTGATTTTTTTGGCGATTGACTTTGACCGGAACGTTGATTGTTTATTGTTCGAGGACTGTCGGTTTCGAGAGTTGAGGCATTAATTGAATCGGTGGGAGATGCGTCCGGAGGTTGATTCGCCTCATCTCCGACGTCGTGCATAGATGACGACCTCGGTGGAGGGGTTTGACCAGCCGGGCTCATTCCAACCCCCGAGTCATGTCCACCCGATGAGGGTGTGCCGGGTAATTGAATGTTGCCCGTATTGCTGGAGGTGCGATTTCTCGGTGGTGTATTGCCGCTATTGCCTGACACGGTACTGGGACTCGGTGGAATATTTCTCGATAGTTGTACAACGTTGACAGTTGATTGTATCCTCGGAGGAATCATCATGTCTAATGAATTAAGACCGGGTACATTTTTTGCCAATATATCAGAATCCCTAACTGCCTGCGCAAGAATATCGAACTTGGTCTTACCCAAGTTGGATTTGACGGAACAGACCCGTTCACGTCCATCAACGGATCCCGCGTTGCTGTTGATCCGGCCGTTTCTCTGCTTCTGGTATGTGACAATTGAATTTTTGTTCTGATGAAAGGGCATTGTTTTTTGAATATTGATCAGTTTGGTGGTGAGATCATTTCTGTTGAATTGTTTTTTTGTTGGTTTCCGTTTTCCTTGGACATCGTCGGTTCTTGTAAGGACAATCTTTGGATTAAGATTCAATGTACTGAGCATTGGTGCATATTTTGTGGGACTGTTGGAATTATCGTTAATATTATTATTATCTTTACTTTTATTTAATAAATTTTTCTGCAATATTTGCGAAATCCTTGGCTTTTTACTATTTTTCGGCCTAAACATTCTCAGTGATTTTAAAACATCAGGATCACTTCTTTTCTCAGTTATAATTAGGGGAGCTGCTGCAGTATAAGTGGAACCTTTAATTGTTTCACGTTTATTTTCATCAAGATCGGCCGAGAATAGAGTGATAATATCATTACTACTTACATCTGAACCACTCACATCTTCCGCGGGATGTCGAATTGCTTCATTAACAAGCATATGAAAATGTGATACTGTTTCCACTGTTAATTTCGATTTTCCGTGTTTTTTACTATTTTCTTTTACACACGGTTTATTCGATTTTTTTGCATCTGGCCTAAATCCGTCGCTGCCTAAACTATCGGTCTGACTATCTTGAGTATTTGTATCGCTATCAGATACTGACAAGGTTCTATTTCTAAAATGTTTTGGTTTATTTTCAGTACTATCATAATCACTTTCTGACGATACAACTGGGTGAACTTTTCTCGGTCTCCCACGCCTCCTGACTTGAACAACACTCTCACTCTCGGAATCCGTCGTGTCATCAAGGCTGCGTCGCGCTGTGGTCCTCTTGTAATTTCCCGCTGGTTGAAAGCTTCCATACTGTTCTGATGAATCCGAAGGAATATCGGCCCATTGCTCGTAACCTTTTTCAATACCGAAAAATTCATCTTTTGATTCATCTTCCGACGGCCAATCTTTAAATTGCGAATAATCAATATTGAGATATTTAAGCTCTTTATTTGTATTACGCATCTCTTCAGCATTCTCGAGATACCTCTCGCAAAGTGTGTTCAATTCATTCCAATCCAAAACCCAGCTGAGCATATGATATCTGGGACTACTAAGCACTACTGCAAGATCATCACAAAGTTGCGGTGACAATCCTAATTTTTCTGCATCTAGTACTTGATTTGGCACAGTTTTCTCATCATAATTAGCTGAACCCGTAACGGCATCACCTTTAATTAAAATCAAAGCGTCCAATGTTCTTTCAATATTATTTGTTTCAGGCGATGGTGGAGTCGCTTCAATACCAGTAAATTCACCACAATTGAAACAAAGTTCACCAATAGGTCCATTTAATGATGGATCTCTTTTTGGATGTAAAGTACATTTTTCAAGTTTTAAGCCCTCACTATTTAAAGATGAAGTAAGAATTGTCTTAAGTATCTCGTCTGTATGCTGGAAGCTCTTGCTCGTTCCACTTTGAAATTCAATATTTTTTCTTATATTTTGAGCAGTAGTAGATGCACACATCGAGGACAATGTTGATTTTCCCATATTTGTATCCAAATTTGTTGTAGCACTAAAATCAATCACGTCTTTTTTCTCATTCACATCATTTAAGGAGCTATTAGACATATTTTGAAACCTTTTAATCTCCTCATCCTCTCCATTTTCATTGATTTCCTTTTTAATTTTTCCGCAAGCAATTGCGATTTCTTTTATTCTATCATAACATTCCCTTGTAGGATTTAAAGAAAATGCTGTCAGCACACATTCTCTGGCAATGCCAATATTACTAACAACAAAATCTGCTAACTTTAAAAATTGCACACTTAATCGTTTAGCTGTCTCGCGAGCTTTTTCCTTGTCTGCTTTTGTTTTTTGACTTTCCAATTCGTTCATGTCTGTTGTCAATGCTCTAATGTAAAGTTCAATGACGAGAGGTTTCACAGTACCTCCAAACTACAATAAAAAGAAATAAATTATAAAATTTGTTTTCAAATAAAATTTTAAACAGTGAAAAAAAAAAAAAATTTTTAACTTACATGTTTCATTAGTACAGTGCACAAAATATAAATATGCTGAGCACTTTCAGCGGGCTCTATTAATTTTCGAATCATTCCAGGTAATGTAGATGCAGTTTCTTTTAATTTCGAATGTAACAATGCCCAAGAATTTAAAATTTGTTCAAGTACATTTGCACCGGTTTCAGATACAGGGCGAACCATTCCAACAGTCACGAGATATTGTACAACCAATTCAGCAGCTTTTGTTGAATTTTTCCAAACTCTTGCCTTTCCATATTTTATTGGTTTTTCACCGCTAAGTCGCTGAACAAGTTCAAGTCCATCTTCAAGGTCCATTAATGTTAACTGTTTAAGAAGAAGAAAATTAATTTAATGTCAGTGTAATTTTAATGAAAAAAAAAAAATTTCTTTTAGACTTACTTGAGCGAAAATGTCTTGCGTGCGTTTCAATTTGAACAAGAGGACAATGTACACATCAAACATATATTGAACATGATGGACTTCAGAAGCAGAACGTAGTGCTTCACTTCTTCTCAGCGAACGAACACAAGCTGCCGCGAGATTTACCGCTATGTCCTCACAGCGGTCTTCGCAAAGTATCTTTAACCTCATCGTCAGTAACTCACCTTTTTCCGAACAACAGAACGCTGAAAATTCAAATAAATTATAAATACTGTATGAACATTTTTTTTTTAAATTCTAGATAAGACAATAAATTACCTTCTTCATTTTCACCGTCCGGTTGACCGTTAAGTATTTTCTCGAGGGCAGGATTTGACCAAGGATTGTGCACCAAATCTACTAATGTTGTACACCTGGATGCGAGGTGGTTCTCCAGGTTTTCTGCGCACCTTTTCAACGTTACACTGAGGTGCGTCTTTGTTGCATTTTGTAATTTTGGCCATTCCCCGCGCAATACCAATTTCAGCGTGTGTCTGTGATAAAAATTAATAATTATTATTTTCAATGATTAATTATTTCTATAGTATTTAACAATTAAAGAGAAAAAAAATAAAATTTAAACCAATAATTAATCTAAACACTAGTTTTTTCTTAACGTGAAACTTAATTTAATTAAAAATAGAAAAACTGACTTGTGGGCCCATTCTATGAGAGCCTTGATTGTATCTGGGGATGCCGCAGGAATAAAATTGGTGACATGTTCCCAGGCGGACAAAAGTGCATTCACCTTGTCGCCGTATTTCTTTTTGCTGTCACTCAATGTTGCTTCAAGCCCCTGAAACCAATAAATCGTCAAGAATTTAGCACACTTAAAACATAATTTACATTTACATAATAGTAAAAAGTAAAAAAAAATACTTTCATTTTCAAAGTACGTGACATTTACATATATTTTCATGAATTAAATTACAAAAAGTTTTAATTAATTTAATAAAATTAAATTATAATGAACAAAATAGAAGTGAATTATAAGAAATTTAAGTAACTTGAAAGGAATAGAGAGAAATTTATAATTTATAAATTTATATAGAGAAATTTAAGTTCTTTTGAGGAATAAAATTATTTGAAGGTTAGGTTCCTTATTCTCACATTTGATAAAATAAAACAGATTATTTACTTCAAAATTCAAATGAATGTTTATAAATAATTAATCAAAAACGAAGGATTGTAAAATTATTATATTTTTTTAAAAATAAAATAACGAGGTTTTAACGTCAACACCAATAGAAATATTAGGTTATGTTTGAGTAGAATATCAATATTTGTGTCTATCATAAACAATCTTTTACAAGTTAGAATTATTTTTAATTAAATATAAAGAGTAGTATTCTAATTAATTATTCATAGAATTTAAAAAAATCATAACTTAATTAAATTGATTACAAAAAAAATAATAATAAAGAAAACATACAGAAGTTTACAAAACAAGACTTATTTTCTAGATTAAATTCTTAATATAAATAATAGAATATAAAAAAAGGTCAAATTAATTCTTATCATAACCAAATACAAAATAAACACTTTTTTTCAATATTTCTAAAATAATGTAATTTCATGAAAACGTGGTGAAAAATGAAAAATTTTACTTAGAAAATTCAGTAAATGTAAGAAATAACATTATACTAAAAAAAATTAAATAAAAATAAAATATTATTCTCAATTTTTATCAAGAAAATTAGAAAATTACATCAGAAAAAAAAAGAATGTTTATTTTGACGCCATTTTTGTATGCACCCTTTTAAAACGTAAATATGACAATTTATTGTCACATTAATATTGACAGAATTTACTTACGTTTTGCATAACTATAATAGACATATTTTATTCATTTAATATATTTACAATGAACATGATATTTAAATTCGTTATATAATGAAAAGATTTGGAAAACATAATGTACACACGAGGGTTAAAAAAAATTGAGGGTTACTGAAAAATGACAGGATCGACAGGATTGTTATGCGTGTTTGTGCATGTGTACAAGCCATAAGGTGCTGCCATCTGTAGCTTAAACTTTATACTGTTTCTCAGGAAACCGGAAGTAACCGGAAGCTTTAAATATTAAAGGGTTAATTCATTTAAAAATGATATTCAATTTGTTTTTCCTTTTTTTTTTTTTTTTATTTTAACTTTTATTTATTGAATTTCTTATTTTTAAAATAAAACTTTTATTAATTCCTGATTATAAATATTATTTACCATTATAAAAAAAAAATGATTTTTAAAAATTTGGAAAATTTAATTATATAAAATAAAAATATATAATAAAAATAATTAAATACAGACAATATACATAAATTAATAAACAAATAATATTAAGTAAAAAAATTAAATTATTAAAAAATAAATTCAAATTTTATTAAACTTGAATTTTTTTTTCTTATTAATCAAATAAAAAAAAAAAAAATATTTCTATATAATAGGTACTTTAGCAAAGATGGAACCGTTCTTTTATAAACTCAGAAAGTTTACTTTGAAAACAAGTTACACCGCACTGTCGGAAATTCAAGTAGTACTTAAAGGTTGCGTTTCAATTTTGCTCAAAAGTTTTAGATGTACAAGTTTCAGTCATTTGAGAAATTAATTTCCTAAACACACACATACATAAATTACGTATATAATTTACATTAGAAAACTTATTGAAAATCATATCCACTTTACGAGAAAGAGAGAGAGAGAGAGAAATTTCTCAAATATCACGATAAATTTTCTCAATATGAAAAATAAATTATAAATATAATTATTAATTCTATCGTTTCTTTATTTTAATCAATTTTCTTTTATTGATAAAATGAAAAATTTATTAGTTCAGGATGCTATTATTTTTCTTACAAATACTATATATATATATATATATATATATATATATTGAGATGAACTTATTATTCTGTAAAATTTCTATCCTTTGTTGGAAAATGAAGAAAAATGTAATAAAAGAGATATTGAGGAGGAATAAAATATTAAAAAGGTCTTTTCGAAGATAGCTATAGAGGAGAGAGAAAGAGAGTACATTTTAAAAACCTCTTGTCCACATGATAGACATAGTTTTCTACAGTGATTTCTCCGGGGATCATTTTTATCGACCCGTGCCTCTTTTTTTTTCTCATAGAATAAATAAATAAAATTTTCAGTCTATTTGCAAATGAAACAGAATGACAACTCGTTTCTATTTTCTTAATGTGAAAACAAAAAAGAAAAAAATTTATTACATTCAAGAAAAATAAACCTTGGAGATTTTAGATGTTTCACGAATTTTTTTCTATTTGTTTTCTTTCCTTTTAATATTTTTTCTTTCTTTAAAAAAATGAATTAATTTAAAAAATATATATATAGTAAAGAAAATATTTATATACATATATTTTTTTTATATATAAAAATAAAAAAATAAAAAAAAAAATTATTTTTTTAAATTATTGCTAACAATAATTATTTATTCCTTTATGTGATTTTTTGAGCTTCTTATTCGTTATAATAATTACGTCCAGAGAGAAAGAGAGAGAGAGAAAGAGCAATTAATTACATTCACAAAGGCTTTGAAGTAACTATTTTATTATTCCCGGGTTATATTTCGAAGAAAAAAAAATGTGATGTGAAATAAAAATTCATTTAATTATAATTATCATTTTTAAATTTAAATATATCGTTTAAATAAACTAAAAAGGAAAAAAAATCCGATATCAAGAGAATGATCCATGGAAGAGATTTTTATAATATTCACATCACATTTTACGGAAAGATATACATTTTATTTTTCATGAAAAGATATAGGATTTCCTTTTTCCAATTCCAATATTGAGAACATATAAATATTCCCTTATTTGTTTGAATTGAATTGGTTTCGACCTTCGTATTTAAAACAAAAAATAAGGGCGAAGAAGGAAAAAAAGAATGAGAAATTAATTTTTCTGAATTCCTTCCTAGCGAGGACGTGTTTGAAAATTTCGAATTGTTTTTTTTTTTTTTTTTTTAATATTATTTTATTTTTTATATCAGAGACACTTGAAAAGCAGAGATGGAAATGAGAAAAAAAAGAAGACAATCGAAATTTATTATTCCCTTCTGGTGGCTCTCAAACACTATATGCCAATCGTTAAAGTCACACTAAAACTTGTGAACATGGCTCGTAAGCTTTGGTCACTGGCTAGTTTTCTAAAGTTTTCTATCCTTTATACTTCTTTTTCAACTTTACCCATTTGCAATTTTCTATCTTTCTCTTTTTCTTTACTGTCTTTTACACAAACTCTCGTTCTCTCTTTCTTTTTTTTCTTCTCTCTTTCACTTTTAGCTAAAGCAATTTCCCTCGACGATTCTTTTTAGGCTGTCTCAAGTACCTTCTCGCATGTAAAGCAATCGAAGAGGCTTATGAGGCAGAAAAAGAAAAAGATAAATAGAGGAATTTTCTACAATTGATTTTTCAGTTTTACGACGTCTTAAAAAAAAAAAATAGGGATGCATTTCATCATAAAAAAAGAAAATTGATTTTTTAAAAACAATTAAATATTACATAAAAAGAATTTTCTTTTTTTTTAAATTTCTATATTTAATTTAAAAATTATTTTAAAATTATAATTTCTTTTTTTCTAATTATAAAATTTTTAAATTAATTTGTTAATTTTAATTTAAAAATTAAATTTTGTTGTTCAATGAAAGATAAATATTAGAACAAAAAAAAATCTCATATGTGTATCTATAAATAAAATTCTTATTTATATATATTTTTTTAAAGAAATAAGAGAAACTTGCATGGAAAACTTTTTACTTATCAATATTGAGTGAAGAATGCAATGTTTGTTCAGAAGTTTGTGTTTTCAAACTGCGATGAGGTAAACAATTTTTTTTCACTTTTTTGTTAAATTTTGACAAATAAATATTAGAATTTTTTTAAAAATATAGACATATTTTTATATTGTAAATAAAATTTTTAGAATTGAGAAATATTTTTTTTATACTTCTTGCGATAATTTTCAACTATTTAAATAAACATTTATCGTAATATTTTTTAATTTAAATAGAAATTTAATACACTTATTAAAAAAAAAGAGGACAAAAAAAAAATCGAAGCAATAAAGGATCAGCGTGCCACGCTTTTATTGGGAAATACTTCACATTTTACCCGGTGAATAGTGTTTAAAATAGTATAGAAAGAAAGGAGAGAATCGTTCATCAAAGTCAAAGTTGTGTATAGGAATAAATATACGGGTTCTGTATATTATTTTGAAAAAAAAGTCATATATACTTTTGAAATATTTTCTCTTTAAAACTAACTGATATGTATATATGTGTCGCGAAGATGTTTTTAAATTTTATTTTATATTCATCAAAAATAAGCTTATTTTCCAGAAGATTAAATTTTTTTTCCTCCGAATAATTACTCAAAAACAGAAAATTAAAAAAGTTTAACTGAAAAAAAATCAGAAAAAAAAGAAATTAATTGAATTTATAAAATAACTTTTTGAAATTGTTACAAATAAAATTGGTAATATAAAAATGGACAAAGCAATATAATTTCCCAAGGACTTTACTTTTTTCAGATCATAAAATTTTAAACTTGAGTTACGTATTTTTTTTTTTTTTTTTTTACTCCTTTAAAAGCGTAAAGTTAAGAGGATTTAAATTTAAGTTTCCCAACTCAGGGAATTGAAAACTAAAAACTGTATTTTCTACAAATTGTTACACCATTTTTTTTTTTTATCCGCGAAGAAGAGGATTTAAAATTTCATTACTTTTTCTCTGATATATATATATATATATATATATGGAACAGAATTCTCCTAAGAAGATTTTCAATTTTGAAATAAATTCCACTTCTTTTCACTATTATACATACATTTTCAAAGCAAATTAACAATTCAAAGGGATTCGTATTAAAAAAAAAAAGAAAAAAAAACTTAGAAAAACAAACTTTTCTTTGAAATGCATCTTGCAACATTAATATTAAATTCTATGAGTTTTTAAAAAATCTGTTTACATTTTTGAATGTTTTTCTTTTCGAGAGGGAAAAAAAATTCTAATCTTTTCAATTTAAACCTATTTTTGTAATTAATTAATTTTTTTATTATTTTATTATTATGAAAAATTATTTATTAATTTTTCTTTTTAGAAAAATTAAAAAGCGATTTTTCTTTTTAGAAAAATTAAAAAGTGATTTTTTTTTTGAAATATAAAAAAAAATGATTTCTTACCACGCACGACTTTTGGATGTGTGAAGACATTCAGAGGGGTATCGAATGCAGCAGTGGTTTAGGTATGGAAGCCACTGAAAATAAATAACCGATGATGTCTTTGAGTGAAAAACAGTGCAATCGTATCCCAGTGATAAAAATACACAGTCCAATTCCTCTATAGTCGTTGTTAATCGAGGACCAGAGAATCTTGCAGGAGCAGCAGGGGCAGGACTCGTGGCGGACATCAGCAACTTCAACCCAGTTTTTTCACAACAGAGGCGATGTCCTCCCTCGAGACCGCCTCTAGCTCTCTCTCTCACTAGCTCTCCAAAATTCCTTTTTCCTCTTTTTACTATGTAATCCTCTTTCAATTTCTGATTCCTCTCAAAATCAACAATGACCACACCGCCAACTGCTTCCTGTATATCCTCTGAAAAAAAATTTTAATTAATAAACTATTCAAAAAAAAAAAAATTATTTTTTTTGTGGTGCACGAATTTCCCATAAAAAAAATTTTTCTTTTAAAATATATTTTATTGGAAATAAAATAAGGATTTAATATTTATTTAAAAATTCAAATCACATAAAATTCGATTGAATGAGAAATTCTGTTAAATTAAAGTTTTAAGTAAAAATTCGTAAAAAAAAAAATTAAATTAAATGCCAATTAGAAAATTGAAAATTCGTCTAAAAAATAATTATTTCTAATAAAATAAAATAATAATTCTAATTAATAATATTTTCATAGAAAATTCATGGACCCCATTTTTTTAATTAAAAATTTTTCTTTTTATTTAATTATTTTCAAATTATAATTCTAAAGAGAACGTCTCAAAAATAATTTTAAAAAATTTACAAAAATTCATTAATTTAAAGGAAAATTTTTCTTTGGGAAATTTATAATAATATCTCAAATTACTAATTAGTGAAGGGTTGTAATTATTATACATGTATATTGTATAAATACTAATTAATAGACTTTATCGAATTTTCGCAATTGCAAATGAAATTTCTTCAAGTTACAAGATTCAAAGCTACTTTGATGAGCGGGGGGAGGGGAATAGGGGGAAAACTCGACTATAAATTGGACCACATCCTTGAATTTCTACTCGAACTTGATTCATTGTTTTGAACCAATAAGCACTCCTAAATTCAGAACTTCTCATCAACCACATCAGGAGAATTAAGGGTGGTGCATGGTATATATATATATACGTATACGAAAGTCGAAGGATTTCGAAGTTGCGCGAGAGAATTAATTCACTATTAAAGGGGGAAATGAGAAAATTATGATTTACTTCCACATCGATTTTAGAGAAATAATTCCTCCATTTTTCCCCCGTATATATTTATATAATTTCAAAAAAATTATATATTATTATAATTTATTTCAAATAATTTATAATTTAAAAATTTATTACAAAATATTTAACTTTGTTAATTAAATAATTTAAAAAAAATTTATTACATGAAAAATAATGAATTAATTATTAATTAATTGAAATTAATTTAAAAAATGTTTTTAGTTAATTAAATTATGGTCGAAATATAACGAAACATATTTATTTTTTTTTACAGTATTCGATTTAATTAAATCAAGGCAAACATAATAATAATAAAGTATCTCGGAAAAGTTTTCATATTGTATATTTCAAAGCACTGCTAGGAGGCTTTATACCAATATAGCTTTAAACTCCGAATCGAAGTTTCACAATCTATGGAATCATTATATTGAAGAAAAGTTCTGCAAAGAATATATTTTCTTTATATATATATGTATATATATAGTATACTAATAATTGTGACATTTAGCTTCTTTTATTATTATAAAGCTCAAGCTTTCTTATACACAATAAATAATTATTATAAAATTTAATTAGTAAAATTAGTATTAGTAATGAATTAGTAAAATTTAATTCTAATAATAATGACTAAGTTAAATTAGTTAAAAATTTTATTATTAAGTATTAATAAATAATAATTTTCATTGTTATTTTATTAAATTAATTCTTAATTTTATTATTTATATTTAGAGGAGAAATAATAATAATAAAAATATAAAAATATTATAAAAAAACAATTTTAAATTAAAAAAAAAGAAAAGTAAAATAAAAAAATATTATTGGCGAAAATTAATTTAAATAAATTTAAATAAAATTGACAATAACATTGAAAAAAGGACAGATGGATTTGCAAAGTTTTATTATACGTATCCCTTGAGCCTTTGTTCTAGGGGGAATTTTTCGGATGGTCTCGTGGACTTAGATTATATATATATATTAAACTCTCTTTGCTATATTTTATATATATATATATATATATATATAAAATATAGCAAAGAGAGTTGAAAAAGAATAAAGATTGTTGGATTGACGTTAGCACGCTTTTCCATTTCGATAGTCGTTCAAGAAAAGTTCCTTCAGTGAAGAACTTCAAGCTCTGGGCACGTTCATATACTTTTATACATTTTTACTGTATATATATAGCAAGAAAACTTTTACACTGTTTGGTATCGTCATATTATCTATATATATAAAAGGGAACAATGTTTTGTACTTTTTCGTTATATTTTCTTTATCTTTCTTTAAGAAAATGGAACTATTAGTATTAGTATTATTATTATTATTATTTTCATTATTTTATTAATCCAACAACTTGGTAATCCAAAAAGATATTTCAGTCACTTTCGCAAACTGATGTTAAGTTAAAAAAGAAACTTTTATATCCCGTAACTGCACTTGAAGATAAAGGAAAGTTCAAACTTTCATATATATATATACAAAATTCTTAATTTTCAACTTTTTATCACCGCGGAAAAGATTTAAAGAAAAACATTAAACTCTACTGACATTAACTTGAAAATAAATGAAATAAAAGTTATAATTTTTTATATGTAAAAAAAAAGATAATTTAAAATAATTATTTAAAAAATATAAATATAATTAAAAAATGTTAAACAGTAGTAGAAATCAGTTTTAGTCAGACAAAACCATTTAGATTTATAATTTATAAATAAAATAAACTATCATTTTAAATATATTGATATATCAGTTTTTACAGTAGAAGAAATCAGTTTTTAGTCAGACAGACCAATTTAGATTCATAATAATGGTAACAGTTGCAAAAGATATTTTTCGAAGTTAAAACGGTTTTCATTATTTTATTTTTAGTAACAGTATAACAGTATAACTAGGTCTCAGAGAGTCAAAATTATATTGTATAATTTTAGTATCAGTAGTGCAAATCAATTTTTAGTTAGATATAATATAAAAAGTTTGATATTAGTTAGTATAGTAAAAGATCTTTTTTAGTTAGAAAAAATATTTTTAATTCTCAAAATAATTTTCTTATCAGTAGTAAAGTTTGTCGAAAGTCAGACAAAATGATGGAAAATTCTTCTAATTTTGCTTATCAGTGGTAATAGATCATTTTAGTCAGACAAAACGTTTTCAAAGTCTTGTAAATTTTATACACTCAGAAAAAAATTCGTTTGCAGCAACCAAATATTTTGGTTAAATCAACAAAATAAATGCATTAATATCCAGTTAACCAAACATTTGGTTCCATAAACCAAACCAAAACCATAAACCAAATAAATAAACCAAACAGTTATTTAGATCAAATAATAATATTTATTTGAATTAAACAAATTTTGTTTGAACTAACCAAAAAATTGGGTAAATATAAAAAAATGGTAAAATTTGGTTCAAAAATATCTTTTTTTTCTGAGTGTATAAGTAGTACCTGATTTTTATAGACAGAAAAAAGTTTTTAATTATTTTAAGTTCAGTAGTAAAATTTAGTTTCAGTCAGACATTTAATTTATATAAATAAATGAAGTTATTTTCTATAATTTTGGTAATTAGTAGTAAAATACAGTTTTAGTCAGACAAGAAGATTTTCGAAATTTTTTGTAAAATATATGAAATTATAGAAAAATTATTTGCTGATAGAAATAAAAACATATTATGTAAGTATTTTTTCATTTAATATCTCTTTTGTGTCAGAAACTATAAGCAAATAAGAAATCCCTTCCCCAGTGTGCTAGGTGCTTTTATATATATATAATACTTGAACAACCCCTCAATAATCAACGTTTGGATATTAATAACCTATGTACTCACGCTTTGATTTCAAAGCGTAGAAACGTTTATTGTATCCGTACTTTAAATTATCGAAGAGAAAAAAAATGCTCGTTTGTGATTTAATTAATTTTCATTAATTTTTTTTTTTAATTAAAAATAAAAAAAAATATGTAAAATTTTTCAGTGGAAAAATAATTGCGAAAAATAGTCTAAATAATTAGTTATTTTTAACTAAATAATTAGTATAATTAATTAATATTTAATTAATATTACTATTTGAATTAGTAACTGACTTTTCGCTATGAAATTAGTTATTTTTATCTAATTGAAATTTAGAGAGTATTTTCATTAACCGAAGAAATATTTAATTTGTATTATTTAATTGAGACAAATAAAATTTACTTGTATCAAATAAAAAATATATTTATCTTAAAGCCCAATAACTTTTTATATTTGTTTCAAAATACAAAAAAATTTTATTTGGTTTAAAAAAAATTTTATTTTTTACAAATTAAATTTTATTTTAACGTAAACAAACAATTTTATTTAACACAAATAAAATTTTTATTTAAATCAAATGAAATTTTAATTTAAAGTAAATAAAATTTATTTGAAACAAATAGAAACATTTATTTAGCTCTGATATAAAAAATATAATTATTATTTTCCCTAAATGAATAAATTAATTAATTTTCAATTAATCCAATATATTTAAATAAATAATTTATATAATAAATCCTAATTTTTTTCAAATTTGAAATAAACCCCATTTGATGTAAAATTAGCAAAATAAAATGTTTTATAAGAATTTTTTAAAATAAATTTTCCCCATCATGATTTTCATTTACAATTTGCATTATATAGCGGGGGAGAGAGAGAGAGAGAGGAAGGAAGATATGGAGAAATTAAATTATTTCTGCACTAATGTGTGGATTCTCACGTAAGCTAGTTTAGATATATATATATATATATATATATATATATATATATATATATATATATATAATACTCTCTTTCTCTCTTGAATGCAGTTTGTAGAGAAACGCGCGTGAGTCGTACATTATATTGGACAGGCGGTACGTTGTTGAGTTAGAGGGATATATAGTGGAAAATGAAGGGATGGAGGGGTAGTTTCTTGTATTAATCTTTCTCAGCTTGATGCGAGATGATTTTACCCCCGTATAGAACGACGCGCGAGTTTCCTGCAATATCCAGAATTACATCTATGGCTTTATCAAAGCGTAAACTCGATAAGCACACACAAGACAACAAAGAACTGAGAATTGTTTCTCAAATCTTTATCTCTGTCTTTCATATAAATTTCTTTCCTCTCTCTTTCTCTCTC